GTTTCTTGGTCTTGGGTCTCTGTGTTTATAACAACGTTTTCTTTCTTTTGGTCTTGCGTCCCACGTCTTTTCCGTGACTTGTTTCGCCGGGAATCTTGGCTCTTGGTTCGTTGGCTCGCTGTATCTTGTTGCTGTACTCTTGTAGTCCTGAAGTTAAGGGGGGGAACAAATGATGAAGGGAAAAGAAGGTGGACAAGTGTAGAGATGCTTACTTCTATGCTATTGCCGGAACAAAAGTAAAGTGATGGCTTGAAATGCCTTTTGCTCTCTGTTTTCTTTCTTCTTGTCTGTACTATTTGCTTGACTTGTTGTGATGCGCGGGGTGGCATTGAAGCGTAAATAGGACATACGAGAAACGAAGAAAAGGGGGCGGACAAGAAAAAGTTGGGACTTTGTTGCTACTGTAACACCAGAAAAAGCTGCTGAAGGTCCCAACTCTAGAGGAACTTTTAGCTTTGTATTTTCCTATTCTTCTTGTTTTCTAACCCTTTCTGCTAGGGGGAATAGGGTGTAGTTAGCTTTAAGGACTGCATTAACTGAAGCTGCTGGGCGGAGGAATATATGTATGTGGTGGTTCTCATCATGTACTCCTGTTTTCTCTATTGTGTTACTTGCATGTGTATGGAGATGATTTGTGTATTTGGTCTGTATGGGTAGTACTTTGGAGGTTTAGGGGTGAAAGGTGCCACTTCTCGCGTCTTTTGTTTCGATTGTACTTCCTGGTGAAGAAGGAATTTGTTGTTTTCCTTCATGGAGTTTATGGGATCGTGACAAGGTAGCTTTCCGTATACCACATCACATCACATTTCAATCATATCATGAGACGAAGAAGGTTGAAAAAGGGGGGAAAGAAAGGAGAGATATATTCAGATATTGTGAATAGTCAACAAGCTCGACTTGAGCAACACCAGGCTAAAGAATTAAACGACGAGTTAACAAAAAGTCCTCCGAAAATGCCAAATTCCGAATCCTCAGAAAACACCAACCACGAGAGCAAAAAGCAGAAAGCAACCAAACTAGCTATCCATTCCCTGATACCAATACCATCCACCTGATAACCCCAAACAACAAAAGCAAGTAAAGATTAATCAAAAACTCCGAATGCTTGGGCAAGTCAGGAAACAAAATCAAGCATCATTCCTCCTCCCCTCCCTTACGTGATAAACACCTTCTTGAGCAGCTGATCATAGAAAACATCCCCCGTAATAGGATCCTTGACCATATTCGGCGTCAAGCCCGCCTTCATGGCGCAGTCATCCAGCCTCTTTCTCCCATACACCCTGCCGTTGGGCAGCAAGAACAAGTCATGCTCGACATGGCTCTTGGTGTGATGCGCATACGGAACGTTGCGCGCCAAGTCGTTGAGCTCCGTCGAGCAAATGGGACACACGCCGTGGCCCAGGGTAGACGAGCTGGCCTCGGCGCTGGGCTCGTCCCGCCGCGACGAGTGGCACGCCGGCGTCTTGAGCGCCGACAGGCCCGACGACAGCGCGACATGCAGCAGCGGCACCGGCGGCAGGGCGAGCAGGCTGTTGTGCGCCGCAGTGAAGAGGTCCGCGAGCTCGCTCCAGCGCGAGGGCCGGTACAGGTGGGAGTAGAGCCCTGCGGTGGCGCCGTGCGGCGGTATGGCCAGCAGGCCGCACGCCTGCTTGACCTCGGCCGGGTGCGTGTTCCAGTAGGGCATGAGGTACTTTTTCGCGTGGGCAATGGCCTCGACGAGCTTCTGCGTGCGGATGAGCTCAATGTACTGCTGCAGCCGGAGCATGAACTCGAGTTTGCTCTGCAGAGGTCAGGTCAGTCGGTGAAGTTCAAGAAACGGTAAAAAGATACGCACCTCCATCTTGCGCAGCTCCTTTTTGTTCTCCGTACACCACGCCAGCGCCTCCGCAACGCTCCCGTTCAGCAACGCCTCCCTAATGCGGCTCATGCCCACAAACGTGTCCACGTCCACCAGGTCCCCCATGCCCTTCTCGCTCGCCAGCTCCCGCGCGCTCTCCGTGTACCCGTGCCGCCACAGGTAGTCCGCCAGCAGCCGGTCGAGCCGCTTCCTGCTCCAGGCCTCGTACTTGACGTCGTCGACGCTGCGCATCGAGTACAGCTCGTCGAGGTGCGCGATCCGCGCCGCCGTCTGCTCGTGCAGCCGCGCCTCCTCCTCGGCGCAGGCCGCGAGCTTGCGCTTCACGCCGCGCATGCGGCTGATCATGGCGTCGAGGCTCTTGAGCACGTCCTGCTGCGAGGCGCGCCCGGAGAGGGCCGCCGTGGCCGAGTCCTTGAGGAGCGACTTGAGCGACGAGGTGTCCTTTTCGATGGCGAAGTGGGCAGCGCGGAAGTTTTTGCGGAGGAGCTCGTGGGGGAGGCGTAAGAGGGGTTGGTCCTTTTTCGAATGAGTAGGAGAGTTAGCAATCGGATCATGCACAGAGGTAGAAGAGAAGGCTTAGAGAAACAATGGGCACGAGAGCATACCAAGAGCAAGTGATCGCTGTGTTTGATGACCGAATTCTCTTGGTCCGCCATCTTGAGGCCGACAACTTTTGCCAACAAACCGGATGGTAGGAAGTTGTCGTGCCCTTTGTGTACTTCTGTGTCTTTTGTCAAGAAATCAGGCGTGGCGATGGCGAGTTGGGTTTGTTGAAAGTGGCAACGAGAGGAGAAGCCGGGGTTGGGAGACGAAGCGAGGACGGCATCGTCTGGGGTTGCTTATCGATACGCAGTGATGCAATGTCACCGCCAAAAATGGCTAGATTGCAGGGTAGCTTGGGGAGTGAGATGCTGCTATTACTTAACTTATGTATGAGAAGCAGTACGCATTAGGTATGCTCTGACATCTTTCATGGCCAGTAATTCATGAGAGTTGGATGATGTTGTATTACTGCACCATATATATCAAGTCGTTAGAAATATGATTCATGTCAATGTACTAGTTGCTTGGTCTACAGTCTAGTTTCACAAGCACAAGTCAAACCAGCACAGGCAACCCAACCCCAAGGCCATCGCCATCACCTCAGTCAGGGAATAGTATAACCAACAAGTCATGATATAGCCAACTCGAACCAAGAATCCATGCCAAACAAGCCAAACATATATATAGCCGCCGTATCCAATCCCTAATCATAAATCACCATAGCCACAAGATAACAACATACAGCAAACAAACATGCTTACTCCTAACATCACCACCGCCGCCGCACGGGAGCAACCTTCTTCTGAAAGGACCCCGGACCCGGCGTGACGACCGTGTAGTTGCACGTCGGGCAGTAAGTCATCGTGTCGGGCGTCGCGGGATACCAGTCGCTCCCGTACGTCGCGTTCAGCACCACCGACCCGACGACGTCGCCGCTCTCCAGCCGGATCCACGTCTGGGCCTCCCACCGGCTGCTGTCGCGCAGGCTCCTCAGGTCGACGCGGACCTGCCGCGACCCGCGGATCCAGTTGCCGTAGCCTCCGTACCCGGAATGCTGTCCGAAGCAGAGGTTGACGCCCGTCCCCGCCACCGTCATGCCCGGCACCAGCCGGTCCCATTTGTAGCACCAGGTGGCCCCGTGGTCGTGGCCCGAGAAGACGGCCAGGAGCCCCGGCGTCGAGGCCACGGCCTGCATAAAGGGCACGTCCTGCCCGCCGTAGGCGCACGACCCGTCGTTGCGGCCGTCGGCGCACCATCCCTGCGCCTGCTGAGCCAGCGGATAGTCGTCGTTGATGCCCGGCTGGAGGTGTCTGTCGACGCTGCCCTGCCCCTTCTCCGTCTGCAGGGCCTGCGAGGCTTCCGTCGGGATGTGGACAAAGGCCAGCGACGGAATGATGCGGCCGTGCTTTGCCACGAACCGCTGGTTCGTCTGCTGGAACCAGTCGACGACGCTGACGTCGACCCAGTCGGGCTGCCCGACCTGGCTCCCGTCGGCATGGCGCTCCTGGAAGTAGAAGCCGCCTCGGCTGTCAAAGAACCAGAGCAGCAGCTCAGGGGAACACTGCAGCTCGTTGCACCCGGCCGCGTACACCGGCAGATAGTAGTTGGAGACGCCGGCGGCTCGCCCGGGAACCATGCTGCGCGTCCGGGCGTTGGGCCACCGCCGCTCCCGCTCCAGGATGCCCTCGCCGGAGATGTTGAAGTTGTGGTCATGGTTTCCGTATGTCGACGCCCAGGTCAGGTGTCGTTCAACGAGCGGCTGGACGATCCGGTCCACGTACAGCGTGCTGTTTTCGAGGAACGTGTTCTCGCCCGTGATGAGGTCGCCGTTGAGCACGACGAGCCCCGGAGACTCTCGATCGAGCACCTTGTTGATGACCTTGACCGAGTTGATATCCTGCTGAGGGCCCCAAGTATCCCACGCATCTTTGTCACATCGTATTAGCAAGCTGAAGCCCCTCATATCAAAGTAATGTATACACTCACTCTCGCCGAAATGAAGATCCTCAAAGATGGACACCTGAAAAGTCCCGTTTGTCGTAAAGCTCAACGGCCTCGTCAACGCATCGATGTGTCCCATCTGAGCCTGCTTCGGCACGGGACTCTGCCTCGAGGGCGGCGCCAACGCAAACAACAGCAGTAACATGTCCAACATGATGCTTCTCTCTCTCTCTCTCTCTCTCTCTCTCTCTCTCTCTTCCTTTTCTGTCTTCTGCTTGTGCTTCTTTATCTCTTGTCGATAGCAGTCGCTTAAAAACAAACGACAAACGAACCAAAGAGCAACAACAGCAACCTTTCAAGTATGTTCCACGCTCAAGTTTCGCAAACGAACACCACCCCCCTTTATAAAAGAACCGAAACTCTGTCCCAAGCAATGCAAGCTCGAGCCTGCCCAATCCAATCCAACCCAAACACCCAATGAAATAGATCAAATCTCTCTATCTCCCGGTCACCAAGCCCATCCTCGCCCAAAGGGAACCTTCCCAAAAATGTAACAAACTTGTTGATATGCCCTTTTTATGCAAAACCTGCTTAACGAGGGGTCGCATCTGCGACGGCGGAGATAACAGGATTGCAGCTTCGGCAGGTGCGTCGAGTTATCTTGTTGATCATCCGACCAGACGGAGCTGTTGCCGCCAGAGTCATGTGAAGATGCACTTGATAAAGGGGGGAAACATATGAAAGAGCAGGATTGATCAGTTGAGTTGTGGTTACATTTTGCAGAAATGGCTCGGATGGACATGTGAACTGCGTCCAGTCTTGTTCAAGGAATGTAAAACGTGCGGCAGGGAGCACTAGGTAGGTACTAGATGCACCTTGATGTTAGGTAGGTGTGTTAGTCAGAGGAATTGCTGTTAAGCATCTACCAGCATTTACTGGCATTTGGACACCATTTGTACAGAGAGAGGACAAGGTACCGCTTCATCTAGATGCTTCAACAGCTCTGTTGCCATAGCAGTGAGTGCAGCTTCATGCCATCGCCATGTCAACCATGTTCTATTCCATACACGTATAATAATACAGAAGCGATGCGTCAAGTGATGACTACCAGAGGAGCATCAACTCTTTCCATGCAGCTCACTTAGTCCTTCTTCTCCTTGTCCGCAATCTCCTTCGCCTTTCGTCCCTTGTCCTCCAACACCTTCTGGATATCCGCCATCGTCTCCTTGAGCAGCTTCTCTCCCTCCTCCTTGTGATTTTGCGCAACCCGGCCCATCTCCTCCAGCTTGCTCAGGATCTCGCTGCCCTGTGGGACCTTGTCCAGATTCAAGTACTTATCCAGCGACGCCCAGCCACTTCCGCTGCCCTTGTCGCCTCCAACCTTCTCCGTCGCCTTGTTGATGTAGTCCTCCACGCTGCCAAAGTCACCAGACTTGGCCGCGTCACGGAGCTTATTGAACAGCTCGCTGAAGTTGCCCTTCTTCAGAGCATCCCCATTCTTCTCCACTAGCTCCTTGACCTTGGGGTTCTTCTCAAGGTACGGCTTGGCCTCCTCGAGACCCTTCTTCCACGCCTCGTCGCCCAGCTTCTGCAGCTGCTGCACCTTGTCGTCAATCAGCTGCTTCGCCTTGGCAATGCTCGAGGCACTGAATCCGCCGGCGAAAATGTCCCTGATCTGTTTCCAAGTCTCGTCCACCTGCTTCTTCGCTTCAGGGCCATACTGCTCGCCCATCTGCTTCAGCTGGTCAATGTTGCCGCCGAGCTTCTCCTTGACCTGGGGATGATTGTCCACAATGTCCAACAGCGCATCGCCCGCTAGGTTCGCAATCTTCTTGGCCAAGTCCGCAAGGACATCCCAGGCCCGGGACGCCGCCTCGAGACTCAGTCCCGCCTTGGCAACGTCCTGGAACTGCTTGTACGCATCGCTGACCAGCTTATCCGCCTCGTCGCCGTGCTGCTTCCGCACAGTCTCCCAGTCCTTGAAGGCGGCGTCCACGTAGGCCCGTCCGCCCGGTATCCAGGCGACGTACGAGTAGGCAAACTGCTTGATGGAGTCGACCGCCTGATCCGGGCTGGGCGTGGCGGCCTGCAGCTTCTTGGCCGCTTCCTGGTACTTCTTCTCTGCCTCCTTGACGGCCTTGTTCAGCTTGCTTGCGGTCCGGCCGGCGGGTGTGAAGGAGTAGATGCCGTAGAAGAGGCCTGCACCGGCGATGCCGCCGATGATGCCGGCTCCGAGCGAGCTGCTGGGCGGCGCGTTGGCGGTTGACGATGTGGATGAGGTTGATTGGAGGCGGATCTGGCGCTTGGGGGCTCGCAGAGCTACCCTACCCTGAGAGAGGGAGAGTCTGGTTGCTGCTCTTGTGGAAATCATGGTGGTGATGTTGATAGGATGAATCTGTGTTTGGAGGAAGGATGGAGTGATGGTTGATGGCAGAACGGAATCTGTGTGTGGTGGACGGATGGCTCTGTGTTAGGTATGACAGGTGATGTATCTGGTAGAAGACCGAGATCTTGGCTTGTTCAAGTCGTAGGGGAGGTAGAAGTGAGGCGGTGGTGATTGACGAAGAAGTGATTGCAAGGAGGAGAAGTAAAAGGGAAGATTGAATTGCAAAATGTCTGATGTACTTGTAGTGTCGTGAAATCAATTCACTGCAAGAACCGCCAATATATATAGTACCTATCCCAAATCTCGGCACGATCGAATTCCCACGGCAAGTTCAATTCAACCCTGCTTGCCTTGTCTGATGTCAGTGCTACCTTACTTTCTCTCACAGCCAGCAAAAAAACCCCCCATATTATGCCATCGTGACGCAATTTTCCAAGCTGCAAAAACCCCCCCTGCCCATCATACAATTTGAACACAAAACAACAAACGCGGAAAGAAGCAATGACCGGACTCAATTGAACCAATGACGTCAATGACGCCCTGCTAAATTCCAAGCTCGGCGGCGCCTTTTTAAAAACGGGCCACGATCTATCCACTCTGACGGTGCTTCAAATCTTTTGCTTTTGCTTGGCCCGGATCGGGATCAGGTACTAAACAAGGTAAAATACGGAGTAATTAAGAGGGGGGCGGAAAAGGGAACCATGACCTGCATAGCATGACAACCTTATTCGCAATCGTATCTGAGATTCCCTGTACTCCAGGACCGAGGTTAACCACGGATACCGAACTGCACAACATCACGACTATGATAACAATAGGAATCCTTGTATTCCCGGCACGGCTGAAAAAAAAACACTGTGTAACCTCGGAAATCCTTGTGTTTCAACCAAGGCTAACTTTATACATCAGATGGATATGGATATCTAAAACCGGAGAGCGTATCAACATTGCCCTTCTCCCCTCGCGGTCGGATCGGACCTGAATCTACCTCCACCTAATCCTATATTCACAGGTATTATCGCTAGAAATACTGCGAGTGCCCATTCACGCTCGCTGGCGCGCATCCTAAAAGAAGCAAAGAATAAGGAAAAAGACAAAACGCATCGCAAGCAAGCAGTAAAGTAAAAAGAAAAAAAATATGAAAAAGTAAAACAATCTGCGGCAATAAAGGGGGTTGGCTTGGGGTTCAAATTGATGATATAAACCGTCTCATCTTCACAGCCCTGGACGCAGTGTAATCCCCTCCCCTGCTTGCCTGGCAATGCACCAAGTCCCAAATGATGCAGCAACGCCGAGTAATGTAGATATGCTTCCCACGAGATCCACGCCGCGATCTATAACCTGAACCGCGCGCCAAGTATATAAAAGCCAAAGTGGGCGAGCCATCTGCTCCTCAAAGTTCGGCTCATTCTTATTATTGAATCTTGCTGATTCTCGTCCCGCCATCATCGTCTTTCTCCTTCGCTTCGACGCCCTGTGTAGCCATCATGCGCCTTGTAAAGGAAGATCATTATAACAATTGAATTCTGGGGATTGTTGCGCCTGTTAGTTGTCGTGAAAAAAGGTGACTCCTTGGAGAGGTGCTGTTGATGGGCCGGCATCCACCATCGTCGTGTCATGAGGCGTGGTGTCTCGACTGTAGCCGGCCATTGACACATCGCCGCCTCGGTAGTCAAACGCCATGGCGCTCATCGGGCGGCCAGGGTCGTCTTCCAGGACGCGCTGTTGAAGCGAAAACGGGCGGTCGTAGAGCACATCTTCCGGAGGTGAAAATGACCAAACCTATCCTGTCGTCAGTATACCGGATCAAAACGCAGCTAGTGCTTCGTCTTACCTCCATGACCGTGCGGCCTTGTCTCAATGCCAAAGCAACGCACTTCTCCTCCTCAAAGGCGACTCGCCAGACCGCCTCGCCCTGCGCAATCAGCTCGCGCACCAGGTGGCCAGTCTTGAGGTCCCAGATCTTGACTCGACCGTCACTTCCTCCGCTGACAACTCTCGTGTCGTCGAACTGCAGGCTCGTGACGCTGTTGTCGTGGGCAGCCAGGCGGTGGATGGGGCACATCTTCTCCAGAGACCACACCCTGACTGAGCCGTCAGAGCCTCCCGTCACCAGCGTATCGCCCCGCATCTGCAGCTGGCCGACAAGAGACGTATGGCCCTGAAGAATGGCAAGGCATTCTCTGTGAAGTTGGTAAAAAAAGGAGCTGTTAGCGCAACGATCCCCGACGTGCTGGCAAACGACGCGCTACTTACCCAGTCTTGGGGTCCCAGACTCGAACGTTAGTATCCAGGCTCCCAGTCACCACCCTCTTGCCGTCAAACGCAATGGCATAGATCTGGCTAAAGTGGCCCTGCAGCGTCTGCAGGCACCGGCCTTCCGAAATGCTCCACACTCTGGCAAACGTATCGTAGCTTCCGGACACGACAATGTCGCCCTTGATCTCCAGGCACCGTACGCTAGACTGGTGTCCGACAAGGACGTTCTTGCATAAGCCGGTGCGGATATCCCATATCCGCAGCGTGGTGTCCCTCGAGCCGGAGATGGCGGTATTAGCGTCGGCCATCTTGAGGCATCGAACGGTAGATGTATGGCCTCGCAATGTGTGAAGACAGGCGCTATGCAATGTTAGTAACAAAGGAAGCCGCATAGGAAAAAAAAGAGAGCATGGAGCCATCATTCAAACAACGCGACTTACCCAGTCTTCAAGTCCCACACACGCACATCTCGGTCGCAGCCACCGCTGACCATGGTGTCTCCCCAGGGCACCATGGCCCAAACGCCCATCACATGGCCCTGCAGAGTCCTCTGCGAGTTGCCATCCGTGTCAAAGACGTGGATCTTGGCGTTATCGAGAGCGACAATGATGTACTTTGGCGTCAGATGCAAACTGGTAACCACGCCTCCTTCCTGTGTAATGTTGCGGGTGATGCTTGTGCCGCCCGACCTCCACGCTGCCTCCACCAGATATTTCTGCTTGAAGTGCGACTTGTACGAGCGTATCTTGGGCCTCGTGCTTGCGAAGCCCATGGAACTCGAGGCGTGTGAGGTGAAGGGGAAGTCGCCGGGAAGGCTGGTGGACATTTCGCTGTCCGTGTCAAAGGCGTAGGCCGATGATCTCGATGTCTGGATGGGGGCCGAGGGGGACGCTTCTGACAGGCGACGACCATAATCGTGTTTCTCGCAAAGGTTCTTCCACGTCATGTCGTCGCTCAGGAGATCTCGCCACCGCTTGGACACTTGTGACGCGCGCGCAAGGACCTTGGGGTCGTCAATGAATGACAATATCTAATCAAGGCTGTTAGCGGAGGAGACCACACGATATCAGTCTGCGTTTTTGGCTGTATAAGACATACTCTTAAGCATAGCTCGTCCGGAAGGCTCGTAAATGGGTCCTTCTTCAACAAGGGGCTGACAAATTGGTGAACAAAGCTGAGCTGCTGGCTGGTGCAGAGGTTCAACAAATCGGCCAAGATTCTCGTTCGCTGCGGGCCGGAAGAGTTCTGGAAGTGCTGTCGAACCTTGGCGAGAAAGAAGTCTTCGTCGTCGGCGGCGTCGCTCCAGTCGGGCTGGCAGTGGGCAGGTCCAGGAGATGCCGCCGGGGTGGGCGGATCGGGAGCCGAGCCCGTCAGCTGCTGGTCGAAGTCGGCGGCGGGCGTGGGCATGCTCGGCGTCGGCGGCCCTCTCAGCTGGCGCTGCTGCTGCGGCAGCTTCTCGACTCTCTGGTGCAACAAAGGGTTGTTGGTGTTGAGCGTCAACTCTTCGCTGAGCAGACTTCCTCTCCTCTCGGAAAAGCTCATCGGCCTGTTGTAGCCAGCCATGGTGTGTATATGCGTATACTCGAGATGTCCCGCCGTCACGGACGTTGTCGTCCGAGAGTTCTCTCAAAGAGATTTCGATGTTGGTGAATGGGAGTCAAGCAGCGACGGATTTGGATTCTGTACGGCGTGGAAAATAAGCTTTCGGGAACTTTCTTGCACGCGACGAGGTGGATGAACGGAGCAAAACGAAGGCCCAAGCCTGGTCTAGCCTGGCAACAGGCGAACGTCAGCTTATACGTGAAACGACGACGTTAACCGCAACAGCAAATATGCGCAGGAATGAAGCGTGCTGGGAAGTAGGATTATTGGCTGTGTGTGCGTGTGTGTGTGTAAGTATTGAAGGATGCATTATTGGCACAAGGGATCCAAGGCGGCATACCGGGTGATGAACGGATGCTGAAAGGGGGAAGAGAGTTCAAAGGGCAGTGGCGGTATTACTCAACACGAACAGAAGTGGAAGAGAGGAACAAGAACAAGAAGCTGAGAGAGGCAGAGAAAGCATACCGTCAGGTCAGGACATGGGTCAGCCTCCTAAACGGTGCTGCAAGACGCGGAACCGGAGGACCCAAACGTCCAACGACTTGGGAAAACGAGCGGAAGCCGCCGATTGAGCAAGGGCAGGGCGAATGATGGAGCCCCCGGAGACGTGTCGCGCGTGTCTGGGCGACTCCCTGGCGATTGCGATGCGGTCTGGATGACGGTAGCGGTAGTGGTAGTAGTAGTAGTAGTAGTAGCAGTAGTAGCAGAGGCCGAGTTTGCTGAGTCCGAGTCTCGAAGGGATGCGAGGGATGGGAGCAGCTAACGGACGGGCCTTTGCGTGGTTCGACGAGCGGCGACCGCCTTGGGAAGAAAAGGGAGTGCGTTGCTTTGGTGCCAGCCAGTCCCTGGTTCCTGATCTGCTTCGGCAGGTCCCCCGTTCTTTGGCGCTGGGATCGTTACGGGCAAGAGCCGGGGGAGGAAGATGCGCGCGCTGCGATGCTGGGATTTTCGGGCGCTCGAGGGTCGTCGTCAGGGTCGGCAGGAGACGAGGTTGAGGGTTCGGGGGTGGTGGTTGGCAGGACAGGATTTGCGTTGGTGGCTTCTCTCGTCAGGGTCAGTCGAAGGCCGGAGAGGCGATCAGAGGCAATCGGTCAGGTCAGCGAGGTGAGCGGGAGGGCGAAGCCAAGGAGGACCAAGTACAGCGCAGGTACTACGACAGAAGAGGCAGAGGCGAGGCGGCTGGGGGTGACTTGCACGGCGCTCAGACCCCAGGTAGCCGTCGCGTACTGCCCTGTCGTGGCCTGAGGAGCGAAGAATAGGGTGGTACAGCCGCGGCGCTGGCGTCCCGCACGTCCCGTGGCGTACCGCGGAGCACATGGGCGACGTACAGTACAGAGAGGGCACCTCGTGCTGGAGACGGGCCCTTGTAGCCGGCCACGGGTGTGGGGCAGCGCATGGGCAACTTGAAGTTGGCGCCAGGCGTGGGTTCCAGGTGTCTGACGCTGCTACAGCACACTAAAGTGGTGCCAGATAGTGCGCTGGGTACCGATCCGGCACCTCGGCTGGGGCCGGTACGCCCGACTCTAACAGCCGCCAGCACGCAACGGCACCCATGCGCGCAAGGCGGTACGAAGCAGCGACATCAACCTGGGGGTCAGTCAATCGAGGCTTCGATTTACAGCCCAAAGCACCTCAACCCCGAGCCTGTTGAGCACCTGAGACTTGAAAGATGTGACGCTGAGGCGCTGAGACAGGAAGTGGCGCCTGACTGGTCCTGGCTGGCACTCTCGGGACGTTGCTCAGCAGGGCTACCTCCATGTACATTGGTATGTCCATCTCAAGCTTCTTATCAATCAACGAACGGAACGGAGTACCCGACGCTGGACGGGACACGCAAGGAGGATCCAGCGATGGCCTCTTCCGCGCATCGGGTCCACAAATCGCCAGGTCGTCTTTTCTGCATCTTTCTCCTCATCGGGCCTCTACATGAGCTCGTGCCGTCGTCAGGTACCTACAAAACCCGCTGCAAGTCCGAAGTACCTTGCATCGGGCTGGTCACCAGACGTCGGTTCTGCTGATTCTGTCTGTCTGTGCCATTATCATGCAGCAGCAGCAGCAGCAGCAGCAGCACAAATTCATACAGCATCCACGGTTCGCTTCCCTCCTCCTCCCCCTCCTCTTTTTTCTGCCGCTTCAACCGCGCCCTGTTTCGACAGCTGTACAAGGTATCTCCCAAGTACCTCACTTACAGGGCCTTACAGGGCCTTATTACAGGGCCCCAGAAGCACATGAAATCCTGTGCACTTCCCGTTTTGTGATGATGTGTATGCTCGTCACTGGCTGGCGGCCATGTAATGCTGCATACATCACACAAACGGGCCATCCAGGGAATGATGACCATCTCTCTCGATGGTACGGAGTACAGCTATGTCGACGGGTTGCACGGAGCATGAACAAGCAGCCTAAGAAAGCTTGCAAAGAGGATCCTCGCATGGTGCAACGAGCGCTTCCCTGACTTGGGCGCCCAAGTAAGGTATGCAAACAAGAAGAACAAGGAACAGAAACGAGGATGGCATGGATCTGTGAAACTCGTCTGACGCCGCACCGTAGCTTTTATTTGAAGTGCACTTTAGATGCTAAGGAGGTATACGGAGTAGGAGCCGATTGATTAGAAGGCTGAATCTCGGCCGAATGCCCGATTGAAGGGGCGGGCCGGCTTACTTACTGCGTCGTGCCAATTCGTTCAAAGTTCTTCTCGTGATGCCGCACGCCAACCCAACGCCTACGGCAATGGGTACAACCTCCCGCATGGAATGCTGCTGACCACGCCAGCCTTTTGCGGAGCACAGCGTCAAGCTCAACCCGATCTAGCCCTGGTCGTAATGCCCGACATACCATTTACTACCAGAAGCGTCGGACAGGCAAACTCGATGGGCGCAGACAAAGGAGAAGCACGTACTACTACTATAAACTCCCTACATATAGCCCCTTGGAAGGTACTCGACATACACGCATCGGTGGCCTCATCTGACCACTCCGTCCTGCGTCTGCCGCGGCCGAGGAGGGTCGCATGGATGCGTACGTGTACATGTACATGTGCCCAACTCTAGAGCCCTCTCTCCCTGCTGAAGATTTCTAGGTAAGGTAGTAGTTGGATGGGTATGTCTGTTCCAGTTCGAGTCGCACCTGAATCTTAGTTACTCCTTGAATTGCTACTGCTACTACTACATCGACCGTGATATCGTGAAATTGGTACGCAGGAGACGAAACACAGGTGCTGCAGCTCGGAGGAAAACGCTGGAAGAAGTAGTACTAGTGGACATACTTCGTAGGAGAACAGAGAGGAGGAGGAAATGCATCTTCCCATACAGTACCTGGCCCTAGGGGAGGGAACCACAGAATGTGAGACTTTATATTCTCCATTCCAGCTGCAGCGTGGCCTTGTTTCACTTGAGCACGTCCATTCCGCTACAAGCAAGTGCAGACAAGATACAGATTAGGTAGTAGTCTCTCCTCAGCGCTACAATAACATTCCTGTTTGATGCTATCAATGTTTTGCCGCTAAAATAAAAGAGATCAGTAATACTATGTTTGCCCAACATCAAACAGCAATTCGGCACCGGGAAAAAAAAAAGCCAGCCCCAACAAACAGGGACCCATCTATCTATATCAAACTGATTAAAAAAAGAAACAAACCACAAGCTGGCGCTATATCTGACGATGAAGCAAAGGTGGGAGGATCCATTTTGCAGGGGTTCCTCCTTTTCATCCCATGATTGTTTCATGTTCTGAAGCTTTTGCAACCTCCAAGCTTGTTTGTCCCCCGATTTGCTAGGTATTCTTCAGCTCCCAGGATTCTTAGTGACATGAAACAAACTTTTTGAAGCTCAGATGTTTTCGTCATTTCCCTTTTCTTTTTTTTTTCTTGGTGATTCGTGAGCTGTTACCTACCTGTGGCGCAACATCGTGGGGGAGAAAAAAAAAAGGCCGGATTTTTCTTGAAAGTTTCTCTTTGGCGCTGCATCATTTTTAGGAGGCCCGGCACGCTTTGACTTTAGATCAAAGTCTGAATAGCCAGATCCAGGTCCCGTCGTATTCCTGTTGGAGCACGATCGATACTGGGTGGCTTGCCCGTAACAATCGACCAACACCTCTCCTTCATGGCCGTGTTGTCTCTGCTTGAGTCTTGTATGGAACAAATCACCACTGCTTCTTGTCTTCGTCCGTCAAATCACGCCCATTCTATAATTATATATAAACGCTGCGCTTGACCGTCATCCCAGCAACCAGATATCTCGCTTTACAGCACGCAGCTCTATAACCATTCGCACATCGGTCTACATCTGCGTGTAGATTGTCCCGCACCAATCGCAGCAGCGCTGCTTCAGAAAATAAAAGAGAAAAAGACATAAAGAGTATAGAAGCCAAATCAGACCAAATCCCCCCATTTTTAGCATCTTTCGAACAACTCAGTAGTAGCAGCACCTTGGGTATGATATGAGATGCGGCAAAGCGTTTAATGGCCCAGCTGAGCTACAAGAGGAATCATCATGCCCGCCACCGTGGCCAAGGTGTCTCGCATCTGGGGCCCCTTTGCCTTTCGTTGGTGTGCCGAGCTTCCATCCGAGTAGCCGTTGATGCCCGAGCCGTGGTCGTGGCTATGCGCGCCGCCGTCCTCTTGCATGGCATGCATCGCGACATATCTGACAATCATTAGCCACACCGATTTTTCGCCGACCTCGAGACGATAGAAAAAAGACGTACAGAAAGGTTCCTCCGGAAAAGAGCAGCAACATGCCCGTCCACCACTGCCCCGAATACCCCTTCAAGTGGTCCCCGCCGAGCAGCGTGATCATGAGCCACGTCGTCAGGGCGCCAACAGGGGCTGCCAGGCTGAAAATCACAAGGTGGCCTCGCGCTGCCCGCTTCGACAGGCCCTGCTTCAGCAGAATCGACGTCAGGCCGAACGCAGCCGGGGCCTTGTGAATCATGATGGCAATGAAAATGACAAAGCCCAGGCGCATGTTGGACGAAGTGGCAGACGCCCCCATGGCGATGCCGTCGGCTGCGGCGTGAATCACGAGCCCGGTAGTCGTTGCCAGGCTGCGGGCTCGTCGAGGGGTTGGCGTCAGGGAGTTCAAGAAGCCGTCCGCTTCTTCATCAATGGATGCCGCATCGCCTCCTGCGAGGTCGTCGAGGCTGATGTGGCGAGTTTCTGGTGTTGTTCGCAGGCTTTCGGTGGCATGTCTGGGGAGTCTGTCGATGAGGAACATGAGGATGAAGCCTGCGATCATGGAAAAGCCAATTTCCAGCGTTGGCACTTCGTGGACGTGGGGGTGCTCTGCGCCGTCTGCGTCGTCCCCGTGCTCATCGTGATCCTCGGGTACCTCGTGCTCTGGGGCAGGCTCGGATGAATCCTGCGGTGCGTCTTCGTCCTCGTTTTGCCGTTTCGTAACCTCGTAGCTCTCCGTAACCTCGATCCGCGGCGCAAGGCTGGGCAGGTCTCCCGCTTGTATCGTGTGAATAGGGACCGTGGTCTGCACAACAGGAAAGGCCTTGACGATGTCTCGGGGCTCAACGCCAAGGGTCCATGGCGATCTTCGCACTAGACTCCGTGCTTTGTGGAGGTGAGAGGCTTCTGCGGGCGAGACGGCAGTTTCGATGCCTTCGGGTATAATGACGACGAGAGACGTGCCGACCAGCACTCCAACGCCGATGCTCGATATCAGTCGGAGCTGCGATTGTGAAAGCGTCATGGACAGGGGCAAGGCTCCGGCCAAGAATGAACTGTTGAGGGCGCCTACGCATCAGCCGTGTGTCTCCATGTGATTGATCGGTAGAGGTGCAGCATACGCCACTGCCATGACAATCTGGATACCGCATTGTTAGCACATTATGCAGCTGAGAGTCGACGAGACATTGAGGTATTTAAACTCACGCATAGGCCAACGAGCAAGAGGAGGCCGGCCATGGTGAAGCTGGAGGCGGCGCAAACTCGACTTGTGCGTAGGAATAAGGGGGGGGTTCGTCTGTTATGGCGGGATCATCTGCGCATCGTGGCCTCCCGGACCCGCGCTCGGCTCCCTCTGTAGAACGGCGGAATTGTAGAGAGTCGCCTCGGAATCGTCGACGGTCGGGCAAGACGCGAGGTTGCGCAATATCGTTAGAGGCGACGTAGCAGAAAGATTGATTGCGGTCTGTTGGATTTTCGGGTTTGCGATTTGATTCAGTGCACAACGGCGGTTGATTGGCTGGGATGCTCCAATTCGTGTCCCCTAGAAAAACCACCGGCCGAACACAGAGCAAAGCCACTTCAGGGGTCCCACTTGCCTGCACTCCGCCAGCTGGGGTCCGCGATTAGGCACTAAATTGCAGATGACTGCTATTGAGTGAGTGGACTTGTAGAGCTCCCGTTTGCCAGTTGTGACTCCTTCAATCCAGATTCCGAGGCGTATGAGGATGAAAGAATGATGGGAAAATATCGGCACTGTACGAAACAGAGTGTGCCATACATACGGTAGTTGGTCGGAGCATTTGATGAATTCCCGTCTGCTAGGGGAATTCGATATGAGTGGATCAGGATAGTATAATGATTCAGTTCCCCGAGCCCATCTCTTCTTCCCCGAGTTCAACTTGGCCTTATGACAACTTCAATCTTACATTTCTTGACAAGTGTCACCATCTTCATTACAAACCAGAATCCTTCCAGATGCTATTCGGAATATCCGCCTCCAAACCTTCTGGCCCTTCAACGCGGCTCCACAGATCACGAACCTGGGGATTCCCCACAGAGCCAGAAAAGACAATGACTCTTGACAAGCTTACCTCGTACCTTATTCTCAAAGTCAAACGACACAGCCTCGTGCTGGCAGCGCTCATGTCCGACACTCCCCGACCGGACGCTCCCCGATTTGCACCTTGTTTGCACGCGACATTGATGTTTCATGCAGGCGAGACCAAGCCGACTACGTAGTATGTAGTATCTCGTAAACTATTGTCCACCGATCAACCGCCAATGGGAGCATGAGTTGACGCTCAAACAAGCCATTTGCGCGGCTGCATCTCCGCCTCTTTCGATCCGTCTTCGCAAGCGCTAGCCATACCCCATGTTAGTTGGTTAGCACTACCAACTCCCCATGTCCTGAACTAGAGATTCCGTCCTTCGTGCGTCGCCTCTACATGTAATTACGTTTCCGTTGTCAAGGCTTGTCCTTGTGACCGCCCCCAGCGAATCCTGCCTTGACAAGTTGTTACTACCAGCCGTTCAAGAATACGAACACAGCAATAACTCTGCAACACCAAGCCACCGTTAGAACCATCCTCCTGCTTCGTAATTCTCTCCCGGTGAGTAGGATGGGGTCCTCCTGCGAGAACCCAAGAAGCCACGCTAACATTCTTCAAAGTCCGATTCACCGTCAGCTTGGATACCAGAAGATCCGACTGGATCCAAGAGGACCTCCGCTGCCGGCTTTCACTGGTATTAGTATGAGTATCCGCCCCTGGAGAGGACCGGCACATTGATCGTTGCACCGACGACCCTCTGAGAAAGCATCTCTTGGCTGCCAGTTCATCCCAGCTACAGCCAACCGTCGTACACCATGGCAACCACCACCACCACCACCGAGACTCTTCACTCTACAGAAGCGATTCCCCTCCAAGTCTTGCCGCCCAGAGCGGTCTTGAAAGGCAGCAATGACTCCGAAAAGCCGTTCGCAGACGCCCCGATTCTCGAGCCGGCGAGGTCAAGAAACGACACTGCGCCTCCAGATGCCTTTGAGGCAAAAGTGAAGTGGAACTCACCGCCCATCAACAAGTATCGAGTTCTTTCGACATTTTGGTCCTTTTTTGTTTTGGGCATGAATGATGGGTCCTATGGTGTAAGCACACCTTCGTTGAACTACCAGATCTTCCACGTCCAGGTGCTGACCAGGCTTATAGGCTTTGGTTCCTCAGGTATGATACTCTCCTGTGCCCTATCAACGATGGACGAGACTAACAAAGGCTCAGTTTGAATCTTACTACAACCTGACTTACACCGTCGTCTCGCTCATCTTCCTCTCTCCCTTCGCCGGCTACACCATGGCCGCGCTGGCCAACAGCGCAATTCACGTTCGCCTGGGCCAACGGGGCGTGGGCATGATCGCACCGCTTTTCCGCCTCATCCCCTATCTGGTCATCACCTTTCACCCGCCGTACCCCGTCCTCGTCGTCATGTACATCCTTGTCGGTTTCGGCAACGGCATCGTAGACGCTGCGTGGAGCGCCTGGATCGGCAACATGGCCAACTCGCACGAAGTGTCGGGCGTCTTGCAGGCGTGCTATGCTCTGGGGGCGACGGTGGCGCCCCTTATCACCACGGCCATTAGTTCGCATAGCCGTGGCGGTTGGTGGACGTTTTACTACATCATGGTAGGAGACTTTCCCACCCAATCTCAGCATCTATGCCAATGCCATATCTGATACATGTCTTGCAGGTCAGCGTTTCGGCAATCGAGTTCGGCACAAGCACCACCACCTTCTGGACGCAGACGGGCGCCGTGTACCTGAGCGAGAACCCGCACCAGAAAGCCGGCGAGAATGCCACCTCGGGCCGAACACGCGAGGCGCTCAGGAGCAAGCTGACCTGGTTCTTCTCGCTCTTCATCTTCCTGTACGTCGGCACCGAAGTTTCGATTGGCGGCTGGATCGTCGTCTTCATGACCAAGGTCCGCAACGCCTCCTCGTTTGCCGGCAGTGCCACGGCGACGGGCTTCTGGGGCGGCATGACCGTGGGCCGTCTTGTGCTGGGCTTCGTCACGTCCCGGCTCGGCGGCTTCCGGGCCATGCTCTTGTATCTCGGGCTGGCGATTGCCATAGAGCTTGTGTTTTGGCTTGTGCCAAACATGGTGGTGACTGCCGTGGCGTCTGCGCTGCTGGGCATGATCTTGGGTATGTTTTTCTCTGTCGTTTCGTATAACCGCAGTGGCCGTATTGTATACTGATTCCATCGCAGGCCCCATCTATCCCACGGCAGTGGTGCTCATGACCAAGGTCCTGCCTCGCTCTCTCCACATCAGCGCCATTGGATTTGCGACAGCCATTGGAGGCTCTGGCTCGGCTGCCTTGCCATTTGCGGTCGGTGCCATTGCGCAGGCAAAGGGAGTCAAGACGCTGCAGCCCATTGTCCTCGCGTGCTGTGTCGTGATGCTGATTGTGTGGCTGTTCCTGCAGCAGCATCGACCCAAGGATAAGGAGGAGGGCGTCAACTTGGCCGTGTTTAAGCGGTTGGGTGAGCGGGTGAGGAAGATGCTCAAATAAATTGACGGATCCCGAATTCAGCAGAGCATTGGTGCTGTCAACTGGCATTGCGAAATTGATTGATATCAGGACAGAGGGTGTCGTTGCCTGGGTATCATATGGTTGCCTTTTGTGTCTGAGAGACGAGGCGCTGACTCGGAGATGCTGAGCTGCTTCCTTTCTTTCCCCCATCTTTAGCTACATCTGGATAGAGATATTTCACCGTATCAAGTACCGATATTTTCATTCATTGGGGAACAGCCGGTGCGTTTGTCGTCTTCACAGGCAGCTCGCAGTGAGATGGCTTGTACCCCGGGACCCACTTTCCTGCCAGCCACCTGAGGCTGGAGCCTGGCACGTGGCGACAGAAATAGCAGGGCGCCAAAAGATGCCGAACCCACAGCGGGAGAGTTACGCGCATACATATGACGGATAAAACGTGCCTCTGAAGCTCTCGAACGGTGCCCTTGTTCTCACTTTATGTGCGCTGATTCTCTTATCGTGTCTCTTATTTTAATCACTTACAATCTGACGCCAACTCCATAAGTTCAATCTCAATCTCAACCTCAACCTTGTTCCGTCAACCTCCCAAGAAGCGACATTCACGAGTTGCGAGTAGACCAGCGGAGCTTCGGCTGAGGCAGCCATCGCTCGCGGATGATGAACCATGAACCCTGAGCCAGCGTCTCCCAAGAGGCGGCACATTCTTTCATCCATCAACCCGCAGCAGTCGCCAGAGAGGCCGCAGCGAGAGGCGACGGGGACACAGCAAGATGACGTCAAGCCAGCAGCCTCTGTTGACGACGGCGACGATGCAAACGCGGAGGGCACGACAAAGCCGCGACGGTCGCGACTAAGGCTCAAGGGCGAGAGGAAGAAGCGCCGTCATCGCTCTCGCAGCGACGAGCGCGACGGCGAATCATCTGGGCGGCATCATCGGCATCATCACCACCGGCATCATCGCCATCGCAGGCGACGAGAGCGCTCCCCGACGCCGCCTAATCCGTATGATGCTCCGCCTCTCGATCCGGATGCCGCGTTTCGCGAATCGCTCTTTGACGCCATGGCCGACGACGAGGGCGCCGCGTACTGGGAGGGCGTCTACGGCCAGCCCATCCACGTCTATTCCGACGAAAAGGTCGGACCGATGGGCGAGCTCGAGAAGATGACGGACGAAGAGTACGCGGCCTATGTGCGGCAAAAGATGTGGGAGAAGACCAACGCCGGGCTGCTGGAGGAGAGGGCTCGGCGCGAGGAAGAGCGCAAGAGGCGCAAGGAAGAGGAGCAGCAGAGGAGGAAGGAAGAGCGAAAGAGCCGCAAGCTGCAGGATGAGATGGAGGCCAGCCTACGCAGGGCGGAAGAGCGACGGGGGGCACGACGCTGGGTCGACGCATGGGACGCGTACACGAAGGCGTGGGCTGCCTGGGACGGCGCCTTGGAAGGGCTCGCCTGGCCGGTGCTGAGCGGGCTGCGTAAGGATGTCGGTGAAGAGGCCGTCCGGGAGTTTTTCGTGCGCGGCATTGGCTTGGAGGAGGTCGGGGAGCAGCAGTTTGCTGCCAAGCTGAAGGAAGAGCGCGTGCGTTGGCATCCTGACAAGATACAGCAGAGGCTCGGCGGGCAGGGCGGCAGCGATGTCCTAAAAGATGTGACGGCCATTTTTCAAATCGTGGACAAGCTTTGGGGGCAGATGAGAAAGAAGACTTGATGCCATTAATCGATCGGATTGCTCGATCATGCGAAATTTTTCATCAGGCCCTCAATTGAGGCAAGCTCCTGGCTACTTGCTCAGCGGCAGCAATCTCTCGAGTATGAAGCAAATGGCACAGACGGCAAAGGTGAATCAAGACTTGACACTGGATAAAGACCCGCCGACTAATGCATTCTCAGAGCCGTTATTTTCTCAGCCCTGTCGCAAATCAATGACTAAATACTCATACACAATAAAAAAAGAGATTTGCTTCCCAGGTCAAGGCGTGCCACGTTGTTGCTCCCGCGCATGTAAGGGGTATCCCATCTTGTCATTCGTGTCCATATCTGACCAAAACAGGCCCAAGTATCCGTCACCCCATGCTCGTTCTCACGGCTATCAGGGTTCTGCTTCCGTTGCCCACCTCATCCAAAGAACCACCGGCGTGTATCATAACCGCCCCCCTTACATGTTGGCGAGGACGGCAGCACCGCCCATCAGCGCACCCATAGCCAAGAAGCCGGTCTGCGCAGGCGCGGCATCCTTGGACCTCGACGACGCGGCGGCGGCGGCCCTGCTGGTCTCGCTGGCGAGCGAGGCGCTGAGCTTGGAGATGTCGGCGCTGACGGAGGACGCGGCGGCGCCGGTGGCCGTGGCGGCGACGCTGCTGAGGGAGCTGAAGAGGGGCGCGGCCTCGGAGGTGAGGCTGGCGATGACCTTGGAGGGCTCGTCGGAGGCGAAGATGGAGTCGATGGCGGAGTTGACGGCGTGGCCCTTGGAGAGGCCCTCGTCCCAGTTGGAGTGGACGTTGTCGACGAAGGAGGAGACCTTGCCGGCGGCGCCGGTGATGAAGGTGGAGATGTCGTCGAAGAGGCCTGGGGCGGGGGACGGCGCCGGGGCGGGGGCTGGGGAGGGTGCTGGGTCGGCCTTGTTTACTTCTTGTTAGCTTTGACTTGGATGATGGAAGTTGGGGATGAGGACGAGTGTGGGAAGATGGCGGGTCATACCTTGACAAGGGCGGCGACGGCAAAGATGGCAAAGCTGGAGAACTTCATGGTGGATATTTGTTTTGAAGGCTGTTTTCAGGGTTTGGGTATGAGATGAAGACTGTTTGGTCTTTTGAGAGAGAGAGAGACAGATGATACTCGAAGTCTTTTTTGCTGTAGCAGGTTAGATGGAATTGGGGAGGATATTTTATGGAGAGAAAAGGAGGAAGAAGAAGAAGAAGGAAAAGGCAGAAAGGGACGGGAGGGAAAGGCTCTGGCGTTATATACATACCTACCACCACACTCCCTCTCTCTCACACACACACTCACATCCCTTTTTTGGAGCTGAAGGGGGCCAGAAACCTGTTGTGAGTGACACAACGGCTTGGTACATTGTCCACTGAGACAAACATACGACCCAATCAGGCCAAGATACAATCTGAATGTAAGAAATTGAATTTAAAAAAATGAAAGTTGGCCCCGGGCTGCCTCTCACTGGGGGTCCGAACTGGGGGACGGTACGGATGTAACACAGGAACTACATGTATCTAACACAACACACACACGCACACACACACACACGCACATGGGGAGAAGCAAGTGCTGGCAGTGCGGGTGGCTGAGATTTCCGGGCCATGGGATCTAAGGTACTTCTGGTACTAGACCAACTTTAGATTGTACGGTGTGTAGTAAGTATGTACGGAAAAGGGCCCAACGCCAACATGGCAAAGGCAAGGGGCCTCGTTTTTTTTTTCTTGAAGTGGAGAGTTTTGAGGCGCTGCGTTCTCTGGGGGAAAGGCGATTGAGGCTGGAGGGGCATTGGAGATGAGTTACGTGTGACGTTGGTTGGTTCTGGGATACATACATACGGCCCCATCCAAGGCTCTCTCTGTTTGGGGGGTCGTGATCCTACTGTTGTGCATGTTTTGTGTGCGAGAGGTGGATGGTAAATGGAGAGTGTTCCATGGTGGGCATCTATGGCATTTTTAGAAGTCGGCGTTGGGGTTTTAAGCGAAGCTGGATAGATCCTACGAGCGGGCATGCGTTTATATTCGCAGGGAGGAAGGTCTGGGCGATTGAGAATGTTACTTTTTGTGCTGGCAGAAATGCCAAGTTCGTATGGGGGGAGTTTTGTTCATTGTTTACCGGGGGGGTGGTGAAATGGGGATTGAGTTTGAGGTATGGAGGAGCATTTGATGACGGGAGAGGTGCGTGGACTGGAGGGTGCTCTGTGCTTGTGAGGCGGTTGGTGACGTTTTTTTTTTTTGCCTGTTGTGTTGAATCTTGCTTGCTTGGCTGTGAGGGCGACCAACAAGCAAACATGATGGAAATACATGTGAAGTACGTACGTCTTGACAAGATGGAGATGGGAGAAGAGGCAGTTGTTGCTGGAGGATGCCCAGTTGGACGTGTTGGAACAGGCGCAGGCCAAAAGCACCATAAACAGTCGATCAGAGGATTAAGGTAGAAACATCCCTGCCGGTACAGTAATATCTTGCATGTACTATCCCCAGTACATGACGCTCAAGTACCGGGGTTGACCTGGCTTGTTGCAGTAAGAAAAAGGGCTGAGGGGGAGGGGACGAAGATGGACAAGGGAGGGGGGTTGGTGGTGACGGAGAGCTCAAGGTGAGCCAAAGACTCAGAGCCGAGAGCGCCGTGGATGGGATGCTGCTTTTTTCTTGCACCAGCCACCGCCACTGTTTGGATCGAGTCCTAGTACTATCATATTGGAGAGAGGTTTACATAGATAGAACTGCGTTGATACCCTGTTGTTTACCTAGGTAGGTATTCTCGATTCTGATTCTGTTTGCTGTTTGTTTCTGTCTTGTAGGATGCAAGACGCAGCGGTTATTCGCAGAAACGGGCAGCGGCAAGATGCATCGCCAGCGCATCGCAGCCGCCGCAGGATTCGACTGGACCCCTCTATGTACTACTACTACTACTGCTACTAATCACAGCGAGTAAGAAGTAGTAGCAAAAAAGGAAAAAAGGGGACATGCAAAAAAAGCAGGGGCGCGGCTGGGCGGCACGGGAGGAAGGATTAAACAAATTTCGCTGTCTGATGTCTCGGAGTTTGTTGGCGTCACTCGTTCTGGCGTCATCCTTTCCTGGAACATGTTTCTTTGGGTAGAGGGCTGGGATGTGGTGGTGATTGGGGCGAGGCGAATCTGTTTCTTTTCTTTCAGGAGGATTCGAGGCTTGTTTTGGGGAGGATAGAAAATGTTACAGATGGGGGCAGTGGCCGCGCTTATGCTGGGCTTTTTCCATGTAGGGGGGTCTTTTAAGAGCTGTAGTGGTAGTGAGGCTGATTCGACTGAACGGCGTGAAGTGTCATGGGAATGATTCTTATTTTTGGTCTGTCAAAGAAAAGGCAGATGAGTCTGTAAGTTGAAATGAAGTCTTGGAGGCAGAACATCTCAGACTACGTCACAAGGGCTGGCTGGCATGTTCGGCAGCCTGTCAAAGTTGAGCCAATGTGCTTGTCTTTTTTTTCCTTGGACGGAGCATTTCTGCGGATTTGCAGGGACTTTATTATAGCCCACCCACCACCCACACACACACCCCTGCCCAACTTTGCTGCAGCAGGCCTGCAGGGGATCGTGACGGTACAGTAAGCCAGACCAAGGGCGATCTTGGCTGTGTCTCGAGTACCGTACCCGGATGCATGTTACATGTATGTAAGGTATGGATAGGTATACTACTACATGGCTACTACTACTACCTTACCTTTGGGTATGTTAGATTGGTGCTTCATCTCGCCGAGACAAAATGAAAGAGTCAAGTCGTCATGGCGGTGATGATGCTTCTACAGAAAAAGGGGGTTGACTTATGTTGTGCTGCCATCAAATGTCCTCTGTTTGGAAAGGGATATTGAGTCCGCATCAAGTGCTGTATGCCCCATGTCCGTACAACCACATCACTTTCATACGTGCACGGGAAAATACATGATTCTTGCGTGGCGAAAGGGCTTAGCATTCCTGTTGCCCACCGACAAGAGGGGACTGAGACAGAAAAGAGCATCACCGCATAATGCGCCTCATGTCTCTCTCTCTCTCTCTCCACTTCTGTGATACGGCACACTGCATGGGAAGACAGAGAGAGAAGAGCAGGATTTCGGCCCCCCCCCCCCCCCCCCCCCCCCCTTTGTGGCTTCTTTGTGATACTCACCGCTCATGACGAAGGGGGAGTCTATGCGTCCGTCTACCTATCCCATCCAGTTACCTTGGACAGTTGAGAGGCGCGTTTACTCGGACTTGCCTTGACTTGGTGCAGTAAGTTGGTATCCAGCATGTCCATGACATACATGTTGAGGCCCGTGTCGGGCTTCGATCTCGAAAGAGGGGGGATACTACTACAAGTTATCTTGTCTCTTCGGCCCTCTTGTGATAGCAACACACTCTCGCCGAAGCATGGCATCTTCTCACTCTGTTTTAAGTGCAATCTCCATGTCCAATGTGCTTTGCCGCTGTCCCCTTTTTGTTTCCCTTTGCCTTCATTGCGCCCTCCCCCGCTGCACATCCACTGCCTACCAAACAATCCGTTCCCTCTAACATCACCAGAACATTCTTCCTTCTGCACTACTAGATGGTATCGAGATACCTAGGCCAAAGTAAAGTCGCTGTTCATCCCGCCTCTAAACGTCGATCAAACAGCCTTATTGGACTCTATAGTCTACACTCCATCAGCACTTGGTGAACGCGCCAACTCCTATAATATAAACACCTTACCAGTATACCTCATAAAAAACCACTCTTCTCATCACCGCTTCGTTAAGCGGCGTACAAGCAGGTATATCCACTCAACAACATCAAAACCATTACAATCATAGCCTTCAACACTTTGAAGCTCCCCCATCAGACCGGGCCCCGGCATCTCTCGCCTCCAATCCAGGCCATATGCCACTACCTACAACTGCAACTGTCCGATCTCCACATCGATCTACCCCCCTGTGAATCACGTAATATCGTACCGGTACCTTCATCCAAGGTACCGATTCCGAAAGACGAAAGGGCTCCGCAGCGGGAACGTTGGAGCAGCCACTCGGTCGTGGCCGTTGGGAGTTCTGAAGCAGCCACGCCTCGTCATCCTGTACAAAGACAAGAAGCATCTGGGCTGCGATAATACTATGTAGTTCTCCCGTCTTGAACGCGTGTACAATTTGCCTCGCATCTATACTGACTCGTAACACAAAACAGCCACTCATATACACAATGGACACACGATGAATACGGGCAAAGAAGAAGAATAACTAAAGGCCATCAATAGCGAGCGAGCAATTGGCCGCATACGCCCCCCCTCTACTGGTACTATAGCAGCATATCCCAAGCTCAAGAAACCACACAGCCTGCCAAATGTCCTGTATATCTTCTCCAAACGCCTCTTTAGCAAGCAAGAAATAAAAAACAAAAACTCGACATGATATCAGTTCAAACTTCTCGATACGGTGATATGCCCTTCTTCAGCTCCGCCACAATCTCGGCAGCCTCGTCAGCGCTCCGAGCCTCAAAGTCGTAGCGTTTGCTTTCCGTGGCTTTGTAAACCACAAGCTATTTTTGGCGTCTCTGTTAGCCTCTCTCCACGCCAACGAAGCACAACGGGGAACGAGGCTGAGCTCGCCACGCAACGACCGACTACCCACTGCGAGAAGCCGAGTCACGAGTAAAGAAGATGTTGAAAAGAGAGGGAAAAAAGGAAAAGAAAACATTCGTGCTACTCACCTTGACGTTGGTGGGATGCTTTCGAGGCACCTTGCATCCGATTACGTTGCTAAAGTGCACCGTCGTCGTCTTTCCCCCTTCCTGCACGGCCTTGCCCCCCGACGACGGCACAATGTGAATGTACTCACCGTCAATCACCAACACCCGCTCGCTCATCCCCACGATGCGCATCGGCTGCTTGCGCCAGACCGTGTACCTCTTGTAGTTGGCACTGGGCAGCTCGTCCGGCTGCATCACTTCGCGCGCCAGCGGGTGCGAGCCAGGCGTGTAGCCCCCCTTCTTGTGCCCCTTTCGCGGCGGCGGCCCGTCCAGCATGGGCACCGTCTTCGGCGACGACGTGCCGGGCGAGCCAGTAATGGCCAGCGGGCCATCCGTCGCAAACCGGCGGCGATACAGCTCCAGGTCCGTCACGTTTCCAATCGACGACACCGGCCGATCCAGCATGACGAGGGCCCCAGACCCTGGCAGCTTCAAGACATGGTTCGCCTTGTCGAGGTGTCTCTTGCGGCACACCTGATCCAGCACTTCGGCAAAGTACATGTCGGTGGTGATGTCAAGTGTCACCATCTGGCCTGCCGCCACATCCGATGACATGATGTAGATGCGTAGCAGCTTCTGCTGGCCCCGCATCGCGTTGGACACGTTTGCGCGCGTCTGGGGAGCGTCCGCCAACAGCACGTTGGGCCGGTAAGCAGTCGTCAATATCGGGTTTGGACGGGGATGCACAGAAGCCGGCGGAGAGAGCATGGCACTGGCACTGGCATTGGCACCGGCACTCGGGTTCTCGCTCCTCTCAGGGGAGCCCTCTTCCGCGATCGTCTCTTGAGCCTGCTGCGCTTCCCCCTCCTCCTCCTCGTCTTCCTGCGGCGTTTGCTTCTGGTTCGCCTCGTACTCTGCCTCTGTCGCTTCCACAATGGCAAACTCGTCGTACACCTTTGAGTTGGACCTCGTCCGTCCGCCGCCCCGCATGTGGGCATTGTTGACCGTGGTGGCCGAGGTAAGAGGCTTTGTCCTGTCAAACGGCGGGAAGTCGTCGTCCACCTCGCCGCCCTCCTCCACCATCACCAGCGTATACCAATTGATGTTGCGCTTTTTCGGAGGAATGGGCGGCTCTCTCTTCTCCTCATTGTACTTGTACAGCGACAACCCTATCAAGTCGGCAATGGTGACGGCCCTCTCCACCCCCTGACCGGTTTGCACTCTGGGCCGGATGAGCAGTTCGAGATACTTGTTGGGTGTCTTGGAGAATGCAGCGTAGATGCGGACGGAAATGGCCCCCTGAGTTCCTTCCCCGTTGAGATGAGCAAATTTCTGGAACGGCACGCTCGACTTGAACCGCTTGGCCTTGAGCGCGGCGGAGAGCAGGCTCTGGGGCTGGACGACGCTGAGGGGCCGGATGGTGCTCATCGGGCGTGGAGGTGGCAGCGCGTTGAAGACGGACAGAGGCGGGTGCGCCGAGTTGCGGATCGTAGACTGCCTCATAAAGTTTCTCGGGGGGGTGCCCACTACTTGCCGTGTAGGAGAGGCGGTGATGGGGTTGTTTTCCACGACGTCGAGGATCGAGGCCTCGTCAATGCTGGCCACGTACTCTCCTGAAATGTCCGAGCCTTCATCAGAGTCGTCGTCATCTTCATCCTCCTCGCGGAGCAGCGAGGGGTCACCGGGCTGCACAGCTTGCGAAGGCTCCTCGTTGATCTTGTCCTGCATCCTCATTGCCCTTGTCGCCGCTCGCGCTGCTTCCCGATGCCTGTACGCGGCTGGCACGTCAAACTCGTTCTCGGAAGACACTTCGCTGNNNCGCTGCTGGTCACCGTATCTCGTCGCGGCCGTCCGGGCAATATGTTGAGCGATGACTGGGAGCCGCGCCTCGGGGCTCGAGGGGAGACGTTCATGGGCTGAAGATGCGAGGCCTGGCCGGGCGAGGAACCCGCGCGGTGCCGTACGGGCATCTTGGCAAACTTTATCTGCTGCGCCGCGCGGTGTTCGGACTCGTCCTCGCTCTCGTCGCTGAAGTCGCTGCTGTCGTCCTCCTCCATCTGCTCGCGGCGCCGGCGCCTCTTGGTTGCCGCGCCCGGGCCCATTGTGTCGGCGCCGCCGCCCGTCAGCATCCCGCCATCTTCGAAGCGGTCTTCCAGCGTCAGGCCGGCCTGTCGAGGGGCCTGGAAGTACTCGGAGGCGATGGCCGTGGGGATCGGAGGGGAATGGGTGCGCTTGACGTGTGACGAGTTTGGCCGCCAGCCAGCGGACTTGAAGGGGACGGTGTTGATGCTGCTGTCGTTGACGGAGATGAGTCGCTCGCCCACGCCGTCGGCGATTTCATTGAGGTAGCCGGTGCGAAGCTGGTACGTGACGAGCCTGGGAGAGCGTCAGTTAGCTGGCGAAGGATGTGCTGCGCATCGGCAGCCGTGGGGGTTGGCGGGCTCACTCTTCAAGCTGGATGAGAGACATGGCGAGAGATGCGGTTGGGCGATGGAAACGGATGCGAGCGGAAGACGTGTTTGTAGGGCTGGACTTGGTGCTAAGAGCGTGCCATGAGCGCTCACATGTTTGCTCGACGCGGCTGTTGAACGTTGAATGCTTTGGATCGTGCAAGGTTGAGGATCCCGTGGAGTTGGAGGTCAATGGCTGCGTGGGGTAGTGCCGAAAGGACGGGACCCCTAGCGCTACAGCTTTGTCGGCGCTGGAGGGCCGATGCCGATGCCGCGAGCTTTTGCTGGAGCCTCGGACAGTATCGAGTGTATTGATGGGTTATGGATTTTAAATGTACAACCTCGATGCTCTCACCCGAGAAGGTTAGACAAGGGAGCGTATCCATTACAGATTAGAAGAGATTGTTCAAATGGGAGCATCTTCAACTATTATCTCAACGTGTTCCCAGATGTTCCTTCTACGATTCAGGTACACTGAGGCAGCTCTGCAGCAGTTGGACGTGCACTAAACCCCCTGTAGCTCTCCCTGAACATGATCCACCTAAACGTCACACTCTTCAGGACAGCCAACTTTTCTCCTACAACTCTCAACTCCCAACTTTCATCGTATCCAAGCCGCCACTCTCAGCAAATACCCTCTCCTACATTCTTCCCGCCATCAATATGGGCCTCGTCGATTATTCCGACTCGGAATCAGAACCCGAACTTGACGCGCCGACCAAGCCCGTCACCAAGGCTCCTCCCAAGAAACCTGCGTTCCAAAAAGTCGTCGACAGATCAAACCCGGGCAAAATCACCATCAACCTCCCCCAAGTCGCCTCTTCTCACGACGACGGCGCATCAAATGGCGATGGGCCGCCGGCGAAGCGCGCGCGCACAGGCGGGAGCGGTCTCTTTTCCGGCTTCAACTCGTTTCTCCCGCCGCCAAAGAACACGGGCAAGGCGACGCTGAGCAAACCCTCCGGCAGCCTGGCCCGTCCCGGCATCAATCTCAAGACCAGCGCGGAAAAGGGCTTCAGCCGCGAAGAAGATACCTCGAGCGCCTCCAACGGTGCAGATAACGCTGCGCCTGGAGGGTTGAGCTTGCCCCCGCCGAAGCGGGCAGCCGAGCCTTCAATACCGGACACGATGAAACCTGCTGAAGAGGTCAAGCTTGTGGGGAAGCCATTGATGTTTAGGCCCCTCTCGGTTGCTCGGAACACGAAGAAGAAGACAACTAAGAGCACGGCGACTGTAGCTTCCGCAGTATCAACATCAAAGTCACCAGCCGCGACACCAGCGACGACGTCGGCGACAGGGACAGAACCTGAGTCAGCTGCAGCTCCAGCGCCGCCCCCGAAAAAGACATCGCTCTTCTCGTTGCACGTGGAAGAACCATCTGAACCAGTGTCGACCGAAGGAAGGGGTACATACGAACCGCTCTTTGAGACGGGAGAAGCGACGGATCCATGGGGTGCCAATGGCCTGGACGAGTATTCGCAGCATGTGAACAGCGGTCAGATGCCCGCCACCGTAGCGACAGGGACCTCATCGAATACGACAGAGTCACTGGATAGCGTCGCCGATGATTTGAATCTCTCCGCCGCAGCGAGGCGAGAGTTGTTTGGACGGGGAGGCAGTGGACAGACGGCGAAGAAGCTCATCAACTTCAACATGGATCAGGAATACCAACACAACGAAGAGCTCAGGGCTGCCGGCGACCAGCAAATCCACAACCCCGTCCGTGCCATACATGGCGGCAAGCACAGCCTCCGACAGCTGGTCCAGAATGTTTCCAACCAACGGGAGGCCTTGGAGGAGAGCTTTGCCAAAGGCAGAAGCAACCGACGAGAAGCCTCCAGCCGCTACGGCTGGTAGCGTGTCCCAGCAACAACTCGAACATTGGCTATTAATGATGCTTTGGAGACATTGCAACCTTTTTTTAGCGATTTGAAAACGTCATGTATTTTCTTCTTTACGCGCGAAGTTGTTATCGCCAGAATACCCCCCATTTTCCGAAAGAAACGCCGATTCACCGCGCTGTGCCCAAACGAAAGTAGAAAGCTATAGTATATAACAGGAAAATGTGAAGAGAAGAAAGTTTTCCAGGAGAAATCAGTATGCCACGCCACCTTGACGAAGACGCTCAAAAGGTTTCCACAGCAGCGGTTTTCCCTATGTTGAGCCCGTTGCCGCCCATCAGGAAGCCCCATTCGCCGCGCGTCACTGGCGATATGTCGTCGTACCCGTGAGGCGTCATGGGCCCGATTGCAGGCGAGTGTGGCTGCAAGTCCGTGTTGGTGTTTGGACTGAGCATCTGATCGATGGTGAAGCGGGTGTTCCACATGGCGGCCATGGATCGATCGACAGGCCGTGCCGTGTGGACTTCTTCTTCGGGCTCCTCGATCTTTGGCACCACCTCGGCTGGCTTGTCCGGTTCAACAGGGGATGTGGGTTTGGGCGAGAAATCGGTCTGCAACTTCAGCGGAGGCCCGATCCTCCGAGGCGTGGGCGGTCGAGAGAACTTGACAGCCGTCATGGCGACCCTGACGATGCCGTCGTCTAGAATGGTGCTTGAGGGACTAAGGCTGCCATCCTCCCATTCGTCGACGAAGCGGTTCTTGGGCGGCAGATGCAGCGCAAAGGGCGGGTTCGGCGGCCTCCTGTCCGTCGTCTGCTGCATCCCGGCGATGCCGCCCACGAGCTCCGGCCCGCCGTATGCGCGGCGATACATGCGGTCGAGGTCGCCGATGGCGGAGCCGCTGACGCCGAGCCAGTCGTAGGAGCGGAGGAGGTCGGCGCGCGTGACCTTGCAGCCGTTGTTGGCGAGGACGTAGCGGCGCAGCTCGTCGACGGCGTCCTCGAGGCGCAGCGGGGAGTTTGTCTTTGAGTAGCTGGAGAGGGCGCTCTTGATGCTGTAGAGGCGGTCGAGGGTGAGGAGGTTGAGGCCGTCGGAGGAGAAGAGGACCTCGTTTTGGACGACGGAGCTGTGGTAGAGCTGGGTGGTGAGGTCGCGGGTGCTGGGGCTTGTGAGGGGGACGAGCCATCCGCTCCTGGAGAATGGTCAGCATGCTGTTTGCTTTGCTTCTCTATTTCAAGAAGGGAGGAGGAGGGGGGGGGATTGGGAGTTATGCCCTGGGCCTTACCCGACGCCAAACTTGTTGCCCGCCTTGATGAGGGTGCTCTTGAGGATCTTTTCTGTCCGCGGGGACAGGTCTCCTGAGTGGAAGCAGCGCAGCCCCATGCTGTTGGACGCTGTCGCCGACCCGTTGCTGTCGGTGGTAGTCAACGACGACGTCGTCGACGGCGTCATCGGCGGAGGCGAAGACGGAAACGCCGGCGAAAGCGGCCACCGGAACCTTGGACTGGACGCCGGCTCCGTCACGGGATATGACGATGCAGGCGGGGCAACAGCGCTCCGCGGACTGCTGCCCACGACGTGCTGCGACGCCGACCGCATGAGATGCTTGAGCGCGACGACGGGGCTCGAAAGCGCGAGCCGGGCGGCGGCGCTGCTGCCGGAGCTGCTGCTGCTGCTGCTGCTGCCGCCGCCGGTGAGAGGGGGCGGCGAGTCCGGGGTCCCGAGGGGCGTGGAGCAGAAGTGCTGCTGCGGGGACGGGACGGACGAGTTGAGCAGCTGGTAGTCGCGCTTGACGATGATGAGGGTCAGGTGGATCGACTTTCGGGCGAGGCGGCCGGAGGTGTATTCCAGGACGGGGAGGAGGTGAGGCGCGATGTGGTGGGCGTCGAGGAGGGAGGGGCCGGCCTCGAGGGGGGACGAGATGCGTTCCCTGAGGGCCATGGCTGCGGTATCATGGACGAGTATACGCCACAGACCGGGAAGGTGTCAGACAGACAGTTCGGATGGTATAAGACAGGGAGTGCAAAAGGAGAGGAATCGTCGGCCGTCCTGGTTGCTCTGGGTGATATCATGTCCTCCGAGGCCCTCGGAGTGAAGGAATGTGATGATACTGCTGAACCTCTGCTTCTGCTACTGCCGCCGCCGTCCGGGACCGAACGTCGTGGAGAAGAAGGAAAGAAAAGAAAAAAAAAGAGGAGCCCGCCAGACGGACAAGCCGGGGAAGAGCGTGAAAGTTATATCAAAACAAATCTGCTCCCAACTACATAATACGACAAACTACCAAAAATAAACATGAAACGTGCAAAAAGAGACAAAGGAAACAAGTGACGATGGGGTATGTAGGCTTCTTCTTCTTCTTCTCCCCTCCCCCCTCTCCACAGCGTCACACGTGAAGAAGGGCCCCAGAAGCCAAATCTGTGGGAACAGGAGAGCGGAAACCATTTCCCCCCTGCGTCTCGAGAGTTATTTTTGACTCTGGGACGGTACGGTGGTGGTGGTGATTTGTTCGAGGAAGGGGGACTGAATGCGTGCCGCTAGGCCCCGGCTCATGCAGTTCGAGGGCCGGGCGCGTAGAGGGAGACTGGCGCACGTTTGGATATTACTATGCACGTATACGGAGTTAGTGTCTGCTGCTAGCTGTACTAAACTGCGTCTACAGTACGAACCACGGCATTTTTTACATATGGGCCAGCAAGCAAGCATGGGGGCATGTGGGAGGAGGAGGTTCCATGCATGGGAGAACATGTGGCAGGGCCCTTGTGGTGGTTCCGTCCGTCAGCCCTGGAGGGATCGTGAGTTTCCACCGCCATGCAGACGGGATTGTGAAACTCGAGACATGGCGTGTGTTGTTGTTGTTGGTTGAACGATGAGAGCTGAGTATGTAGGGTCTTCAAGAGGGGGGGTTGACCAGGGATAGAGGCGAAGGCATCGTTGAATGGAAGTTGGACCAACCAGCTGCTGTCCTTACATGCTTTCTTCATACACATGCCGTGCGACAACAAAAAAACAAACAAGTCCGCAGAGAGGAATGAATCTGCTTTCTTTCTCTTTCTTGGCTTTTGTTTCTTGTAACTTTTTTTTCTGGGGGCACATTCACACACATCACGCATGTTGACCCCCCCCCCCCCCCCTGTCGAGGTTGGCTTCCAGGGTTCATGGCGGGGGAGAAGATGTGATTCGCTGGGGCTTTTTTGTGATGGAAGGGGTCGGCGGCTAAAAGAATTCGAATGGAGCGTTGCTTGGCTGCTTTGGTTTATTTTTATAAACAAAGACGGGGGGTTTCCCTCTAGATGTGATTGGTTGCGTGGATGGGAGGAGGGGGGGATCCTTGTCGACGATTTGGTGGGGATCCTTTTCATCTGCATGATGCTTGGCTTTTTGGGAATCTGTGTGTGTGGATATGTGAGGATGTGAAGTGTGAGGGTTCCCTTGTTGATCGTGGTTGATGATGGTGATGCGTTGCCGGGGTGGATGGATGTGTGATGTGATGGCCATGCGACGGAGCATAGAACATCAGGGGCCAGATGCAGAAAGATTGCATGGGAAACTTTATCGATACTACTGGTACTATTTATATAGTGATGCATGGGATGAGTTGCCTTAGGTGCCTTGATCGAATGGCACCCACACCGTTTTGTCTGCTTCTTTTATCTTCCTTGTTCTCTTTCCTGCCCCGGTTTCTACATACCAATGCGGAAAGGATGGAAGTGAGTGATGAAGGATTCCAGGTGGAGATGCTGTGCTGTCCCTGCATAAGTTTCATTTTGCGATCGGTAGTGCTACATACTACTAGTAGGAAGATTGGGTGGTGGTTTGGATGCGGCTGAAAGTTGTGAATGGTAGCGTGTGATGGGATGGGATGGGAGAGGGTGTGAGGGTTGGGATGCTGAGTGGATGGAGGGGGGGAAGTGGTGGAGTGGTGTGTGTTTCAGTTGGCGATGGGATGTATGTGTGGGATTTGATGGGGTGTTGAGGATGCAGTTTCGGTGATGTTTGTTTGTGATCAACGTCCGTGAGTTGCGGTGATGTTGTGTTGATGTCTCTTTGTAGGGTATGCGTTGACGTTGTTGAAGTAAAGGTTGAAAATCAGGCTGTCACTTCACTTATGTAAAGATGATATTCCAGCATCACATTCTATTAATCTAGCATTCTAACTCGCTCCAAGCATCTAAAGACAGAGAAAGAATGCAAACTGACATCTAAAGACAAAAGCAAAGATATAAACTCGCCCTCAAAGACAGAACCAGTCTGGCATAACTCCTCCTCCCCTTAGATCAAGTACAGATCCTTGTGCTCGGCCTTAATCAAATCCGCCCCCTTCTCACCCACCATGTACACCGAGTTCTGGATGCGGCAGTCCGGAATCACAGGCATGATGGAGGCGTCAATCACGCGCAGGTTCTTGACGCCGTGCACCTTGAGCGCCGGGTCGACGACGCCCTGCTCAATCGTCTTGGACAGGCGGGCGGTGCCGCAGGGGTGGAAGGCCGTCTGGCACCGGTCCAGCACGGCGCGCCTCATCTCGGCGTCGTCGTCGAGCGGCATGTCCCAGGGGTACTCGGCCACGACGAGGTCCCGGAAGCCCTCGCCCTTGGTCAGCAGGTCGTAGCTGAAGCGGATGCCCTCGCGCATGGCGATGATGTCGAGCTCGCTCTCGAAGAAGTTGAGGTTGATGTTGGGCTGGTCCAGGTGGCTGGCGCTGTTGAGCGTCACCTCGCCCGGCTTGGAGATGGGCCGCACCAGGTCGACGACGACGGTCGTGTGCGCGCCGGCCTTGGGCACCGGGTAGTGCCACTGGAAGGCGCTGCCGAACATGGCGACGAAGTCGAGCTCGAAGTGAGGCTGGCCGTCGGGGCACAGCGGGTCCCTGCCGCCGTTGGCCGCCACCGCCTTGCTGTAGACGGGGTCCTTGGCCAGGTACCGGTCGATGCGGGGGAAGCCGACCATCTCGAGGAAGCCGGAGCCGAGCGGGCCCGCGTGGTCCTTTTCGTAGACGGCCCGGGCCGCCGCGTTGGCCGCCGTCTTGCGCAGGACGGTGTCGTCCATGCCGAACCCGTCCTTGACGCGCACCACAAACGGCACCGCCGGGTGGTCAATCAGGTTCTGGCCGACGTGGCGCGAGTCGACGATGCAGTCGATGTTGTGCTTGGCCAGCTCCCTCGCCGGGCCGATGCCGCTGAGCATCAGCAGCTTGGGGCTCTCGTACACGCCCTGCGAGAGAATCACCTCGCGGTCGGCGTAAAAGGTGAGCTCGGTGCCGTCGGCGCGGGTGACGGTGACGCCCCTGCAGGTGCGGTCGGCGTAGTCGACCAGGAGCCGCTTGGACGTCACCTCGGTGAGGACGGTGATGTTGGGCTTGTTCTTGAGGAACAGGAAGCTGCCGCTGCGCTGGCCCTTGTAGATGGAGTCGGCGCAGTGGTACAGGCCAAGCATCTCGCCGTCGTAGATGTTCTCCGTCAGGGGCTCGCCCATGGACGTCCACGCCTTGGTCAGGGCGTCGCGGAAGGGCGCCAGCTCAGGCAGCAGCTCGGCGTGGCTGATGTCAATGGGGCCGCCGGAGCCAATCTTGGCCAGCTCGGGGTCGTACAGGCCCTCGTCGTCGTGGTAGGTGGCGCTCTTGCGCAGGTAGGGCACCAGGGGGTCCCACGTCCACTCGTCGCCGCCGTACTCGGCCCACATGTCAAAGGTGGGCTTGCAGCCGGGGATCCAGGTGAAGTAGTTGAGCGAGGAGCTGCCGCCGAGGATCTTGCCGCGCGTGTTGGGCTTCTCGATGCGCTCGTAGTCTTCGCGCTTGACGATGGTGGTCTTGTAGGCCCAGTCGTGCTTGCTGCCGCGCAGGTTCATGGCGTTGGACGGCGTCATGATCTCCTTGAGCTGCTCCGGATTGGCCACGCCGGCCTCGAGGACGAGGATGCGGACGTTGGGGTTCTCGGCGAGACGGCCGGCCACGGTGTTTCCGGCAGTGCCGCCGCCGACGACGATGAAGTCGAAGCGGTCGCCGGTGTTGATGGGGACAGTGATGGCCATGTTGATGGTGGTTGAATTGGTTGATTGGTTGATCGGCTGATATGGGGTTTTGGTTGGTTGAAGAGATAGCTGTTGCTAGATTGCAGACGGCTTTGGGTAGAGGGAAGTTGTTGCTATTTATGGTGTTGTTGTTTCTGATCTCAAAGAGATGAGTTGGATCTTGTGACGGATGTTGATGCTGATTATGAAGTTGTGATTGTTGTGATGTTGCTGATACTGGAGCTGATGCTGAAGTTGATGCTGATTGCTGTGATGCTGATTGTTGTGATGCTGTGAGTGATGATCGAAATCAAACCCGTCCATCTCGTCCATCTTATATCTTTTCAAACGCCTCATCCTCCTCTCCAATCTCAGTCGTCATCATCATCTCCTCGGATATCGGTGTCGAGGCATCTCCAGCACGGCTCCGGCATCTCGCATGCGAGCGGGCGTCATCCTGTATGTTCGAAAGGGCAAAGAGTTTCCACTAGCCACTCCGCATCCCGATGATGGTGACGATGGCTGAAGCAACTCCAGCAGAGAATGCCGAACTTGGCCAGAGACAGTCTGGAACTCATGCAAGGGCTGCTCCACAACGAGGCTGAAGCGCCCGTATCTCGGCATTCAAGCCACAGATGGCCCCGCCTTTTTTCACTTATTCCCAGATGCTATTCCCCAATCTACGTCACCAGCTTCCATTTCAAGCATTTTGATTGGTGCATAAACCCTGTCAGGCCCGCGGCGGTTCGGCATCGTAGTCGGTGGAGCTCTGCCGGCAGTTTTCGCCAGCCAATCAACATCTCTCACAATGCCAGTTGAGTGGCTGCATGAGGCGTTTCCGATTGGCTCGGAGAATGGCTTCTTTCTCGCTGCCCTCAGCTTGTGCATACCGAACTCCCGAGCCAGATACGGACTATGATCAAGTTTTCAACCACAAAATGCGTTTTTTCAATTCACTTTTGAAATTGATTTTCTCTCGGTTCTTCGCTGCATAAGGCTGATGCAACCAGGCACGAAACGACGGATCTCTCGGAACGAACGGCGCTCTAGAATCATGCAACTTCGCACGTTATCATCTTGACGTCCTTGATTGGAGGAAATGCGGAAGTTGCCGCCTCTCCTCCACCTTCATCGGGCGATGCTCAGAGCAAGGGGGGCAGAATGGAGAAGAAAAGCCAAGTTCCCAGCTGTTGTGCTTTCTACTGGAGTGCATTACCGGACTGGGAAGTTGCCTCGGGTCCGGGTGGGGACCGACCGAGAGACGGGCGGGCCGGGCACCCGTTGTAAGCTGGCCCGAAACGGTTTCGGATGGAACTCGGCGTCGGGCATCGGGGAGGCGTCATTGATTTGATTTTTGGCGAGGCTGTGATGTTTTGGCTCTGGAGTTTTCTTTCATGAATGCAGAGTACGTGTGGCATGGAGACTGATGACGGAGTGGATCGCTTGAAGGGCAAGATAATGCAACGGGTAGACATGGAGGGGACCACTTGAAGAGCAAGATAATGTCTACGGACAGAGAGTAGAGATGCGGACGTCTATATCAGTCTTGTCATTCCCAGAGCCCATCACCATAAGAAAGCAAGTTGCATCTACACCATCATCCTCTGTCCAACCCCCTACTTGCTTCATCTCTATAGACTTCTCTATAGACCATTACCCTGCATCATGGCTTCATTCTACACCGGCGCCGAGGGTATGCCTCTCCCTCCACCCTTCACACCTGGACTCCTGACCCAACATGTTCTTTGACTGACATGAGTTACTACCAGGATGCCCGTACCCCAATCCCAGCACCAGCGTGCAGCTACGCAACGGTTCGGGAGGTGGTCTCGTGCTCCTTCAAGACACCCAGCTGATTGAGACGCTGGCTCACTTTAACCGCGAAAGAATCCCCGAACGGTACGAACAGCATCACACCCCCCCCCCATGCAAGTATATCGTTGACACGAAGTTCCCTCACTTCAGTGTTGTTCACGCCAAAGCTGCTGGGTAAGCCTCCTCAACGCCCCCCCCCCCCGTGTAAACGCAGAAATGAATCAATGCCAACAACTCGTTGAACAAGTGCCTACGGCGAATTCGAATGTACGCACGACTGCACCGACATCACGTCCGCCAGCTTCCTCAGCAAAGTCGGCAAAAAGTCCGACGTGCTGCTGCGCATCTCGACCGTCGGGCCTGAGCGAGGCTCTGCCGACACCACGCGGGACGTCCATGGCTGGGGCATGAAGATTTACACGGACGAGGGCAATCAGGACTTTGTCTGCAATAACATTGTGAGTGAGAGGCGTTTTGATATCACGATGAGGGAGGTGTGTTTTATGCTTTGATTTTTTTGCTAACGGGGATTTTGGCAGCCTGTCTTTTTCGTCCGGGACCCGATCAAGTTCCCCTCGTTGAATCGTTCTCACAAGCGCCATCCGCAGACAAACCTGAGTGACTCGGACATGGTATGTAGCCCCCTATACCTGAAGTTGTCAAAACCAATCTGCTAACGTGACTGTGTTCTTCAAAGTTCTGGGAGTAGGTTCTCATCGTCAAGCAACAAGTTGAAATCAAATCTAACGCAGTTGTCACCCTCAGCTTCCACCTCGGCAACCCCGAAGGCATCCACGCCCTCATGCACCTCTTCAACGACCGCGGCACGCCCGCCTCCCTGCGCAACATCAACGCCTACAGCGGCCACACGTACAAGTTCACCAAGGAGGACGGCAGCTTCAAGTACGTCAAGCTGCACATCAAGGCCCAGGCGGGCGTCAAGAACTTCACCGCCGACGTCGCCACCAAGACGGCCGGCGAGAACCCCGACTTCTTGACGCAGGACCTCTTCGAGGCCATTGAGCGGGGGGACTTGCCCAAGTGGGACGTCTTCGTGCAGGTCATGGATCCCAAGGAGGCGGAGACGTACAGGTGGAACATCTTTGACATGACCAAGGTGTGGCCGCACAAGGACTATCCGCTGCGCCAGATTGGTGTTTTGACGCTGAATCGGAATGTGAGTCCCTTCTCCCCTTCTTCTAACCATCTATACTGTGTATTATTCGTTGTCTAATCAAATGTGTCCAGCCTCAAAACTACTTTACCGACATTGAGCAGGCTGCCTTTTCGCCCTCCAACATGGTTCCGGGCATCGCCCCCTCAGCCGACCCCAGTATGTCCCCTTTCCCCCTCCCCCCCTTTTCCACCAATGCCATCCAAACCAGATCTTCCCCTGCTCATACAAAATCCCCTCAGTGCTGCAAGCCCGCATGTTCGCCTACCCCGACGCCGCGCGCTACCGCCTCGGCGTAAACTACCAGCAGCTGCCCACCAACCGCAGCAAGGCCCCCGTCTACTCGCCCTTCCAGCGCGACGGCTTCATGAACTTTTCCGACAACTACGGCGCCGACCCCAACTATGTCAACGCGTCGCTCAAGCCCACTGCCGTCAAGGCCAAGGCCAAGGCCGGCGGCGGCGGCAAGGTCAGCAGCACCATCACGGAGCACGAGAAGTGGGTTGGCGAGGTGAGTAGCTTCACGAGCGAGATTGGGCCCGAGGACTTTGAGCAGGCGAAGGCGCTTTGGCGCGTGCTGGGCACGCAAGAGGGCCATCAGGAGCGCTTCATTGGGAATGTGGCGGGACATTTGTCGGGGGCTAAGAATGCCACGATTCGGAGTCGGGTCTATGGTGAGTCTTTTGACTTGATGTGACGCCCCCTTTATTCATGCAGCTTGGGATGCTAATGGCTTTGTCTGATATAGAGTACTTTTCGCATGTGGATAAGGAGCTTGGGAAGCGTCTTCGAGAGGTTACCGAGGCCAAGGTTGCTGCCAAGTGAATCTCCATTGATAAAAGGATTTCTGATTTGGATGGATAGATCGGACTCGTCATGGCCTTGACTTACATAGACTGACTGATGCCTGGAGAATCTGTCAGAATAGATCTGAGATCATTCAAGTGCCAGATATACCAGATAGAGTAGAAATGGATGGAGAGAAATCAAGAGGAGATGACATACGCAATACTCCTTATGCAGATACTTTTACCTCCTGTGGCACATACGCGGAACCAGGTAGCGGCATGCTCCGACAACATCTCTCGTCGCTCCTTTTCAAAGAACTCAGCATCTTGCCTGATGGATCTCTTGCGTGCACTGATAGCATGGCTTGAACCGAATCTACCCTTCGAGAACACATTGCATGAGATCCCTGCGGTTCCGCTCACCCACTTGGCCCTTGCGAAGAAGCCGGTACAAGTCATTGATCCTTTCCTGATGGCTCTCCATCCGCCTTGGCCGGGGCCACTTCCGCGTCCCCAAGGGACAGGCTGCATCTCCGTACACCAAAAGCCCGTAAGCGCCCCTATACAGAGTCATTACCCACAGAAATGGGTTTCTTTGTGTTGTTGATTCAAGCAAAAAATCAGAAAACGGGCTCAATCATCATTTACATTTGATAAACTGTCTCAGGAAAAAGCTGGGAAGGGGGGACTGGGAGGCGTTGTTTGCAAGGGGGGGAAAAAACAAAACTCACAGCAAGCCGACACAGAACCAGAATCTGGGAAGGAATAGATCCCATTTGCTGGATGATTGTTCCGGCTTCTTTCTCGCGATGAGCAGCAGCTCGAGGGTTTCTTGCATGGCCAGCAGGTCTCGCGAAAGGCTGTCGCCAAGGATCTTGAGGCGCCATTGCTCCCTCGTCGTCGTGTTGTCTGGCGCATTCGAGTCTGGTTCTCTCAACTCCACGGCTACGACTACGACATTATCAACGTCTCTTTTTCTCTCTGTTGAGCAATCTCTCACCCACAACATACCTGTCGACGAACCCTTTTCTTGGGAGGGACATAGTTCGTGGATATACCTCGACCGCTCCTCGGCATGCACCCGCCGCAGGGTGTCCAGGTACTCATGCAGGGTCATGTTCGCAGAACGACGGTGAATCTCATAGTCGTCGCGCAGCTCGCGATCGACTTGTTCCTTGGTCTGGCATTGAGACAGGACGGGTTGCAACCTCTCTGGATAGCGAGGCCATTGTAGTTCGAAATCAGCCGTGGTGTCGGGAGCTCGTGGGTGCTGTCCGAGACGAAGCGCAACGTCACTGCATGCCGGTGAAGCAGCTTCCGCCATTCTGGGGCTATTCGAGGTGATGAAGGTGCAAACAGATGTAAGGAGCTCAAGGGGCAAGATCAATGAAAAGAGCACCAAGGCATACCACGGGTTGTGAATCGTCCAGACGCATCTCCAAGAGAAATATTCGCCACCTTCCACAAAACGTACCGGCAAAATGAAATCCAATCAGGAGTTTGATTTTGCTCTAGAAGCAGGCCGCCACGTCAAACTGCAGAGGTTATGATGCGGGAGGCCTACAACGAAACATGTTTCCGAACACGGCTGCATGAGACATGTAACCAACATCAGGCTGTCTCCCCCTCAGTTAGGCAGCGCAGGATTCCTACGGCATGAGGCTTTGGAAAAAAACTGATGCTTCTTCTTGCCCGCATGAGCCTTTATCCTCAGTGGAGGGCATCGAGATTCTCGTCTATATCTGCCACTATAGTTGTTCACCGAGGCATCGTATCTGGTCTCCCAACAGAGCTTTGATTCAAAGAGAGCTTCTTTCAGCATCATCAAGGAGGGTGCTTTTGCACCTTTGACGACGGAAAAAACACCATGACTGAACCCTCTGCATCGACCGAGAAGAAGAGCCTCGTGGTTCATCTGCAAGTATGGCACTACAGGGCCTCCGAAGGGCGAAGCATCGACGCCAACAATGCCTTTGGCGGCCTCTTCCGCAACGTACCAGACTGGGAGGTCATTGCGACGGAGTTTTACGCCGTCGCAGGCCTCAACTCGCACGATCGATACGTCCCGGTCGAGGTGAGTTATACACAATTCCCCCCCAAGTCTGGCAGGGTGGGCATATAACTGATCCCTCGTGCTCAACAACCAGGTGCGCTTCCGCCACAGAACATTGGAGTACGACCACCCGGGCGAAGCCGCCATGGCCGCCGTCCGAAGGCTCTTCTACAAGACGGCGCCCCAGTTCGTCTACCAGTTCTGCATCAGCAACAGGAGCACCCCGCACAACCTCAACATCCATCCGGTGGACGTCCCGAAGAGCTTCAGGTCGCGCTACACGCACGTGTATGGGCTGAATCCGCTCCATATCCGCATCAACACCTTTCTCCTTCCCGACCGGTTGCGAGTAGATGAGGGCGAGGACGAAGTGCAGTGTTGGTAAGCACAATACGGCGACACTTTCTCCTTTCTTCTCTCCTTTCGATGTTTCTTGAGATTTAGCATCTGTTCTTGTCACTGACCCGGCGTACACACGTTCAAAGGTTGCGATCCGCGGGCAACGACAATACCGCAGACGATGTCTTGGGCACTCTGGCCGTCGCCGTCAGCCTCTACCTCGTCTACCAGTACAGGCAAAATGCAGGCAAAGGGAGAGTAAACGGCCAGCCTGATGTCGATATGGTGAATGATTATCTTTCCGGAGTGTATTTGCCGGAAGAGCTCGGGGGATTGCGATCACTGTTGCGAAAGGTCTGTTTTGTCCAACCGCAGGTCCCAACGTTCAATGCGAGAAGGCTTAAGCTGACTTAACCCTGACTTCGGGACAAAGCTGCGCGCAGCTGGAGGCAACGACGCCTCCCATCCGGAAGCTCCCACCACGAATGTGCAACTGGCGTTGAGAGGCGCAGGTCAGCTGTTGGCGGAGTACGAGCGCCTGGCTGATCTCGTCAAAGGCAGATCAAGGAGGCTAGGAGAGGACCGAGGTGAGATCTTTCCCCCCTGCTGACTCGGCAATCCATCTATCTTGGCTAGTTTCAGAGACTCACAGCAAGATCAGTTCTCTCTTGCCAAGATCTGCACGAGCTGGTGCAAGACGCGCATACCGTGACTCTCCACGTCTCCAGGCTGAACCAAGCGGTGCGACCCATGATCAAACTGCTTGAAGAAGGCTACAAGAACGTCGTCGAGGACTCCAAAAGCTATATAGATGCGGTTGGCATCCTGGGCTACATCGGCCTGACTGTCCGATACATCACGGGCCGTTCCACCGAGGGCGATGCCAGATATCGCATGTGGGTTGCAAGAGGTGCAGAGGCCATGGACAAGAAGACGCGCGTCAGAGATTGTAAGTACTGCCTTTTGTGTTTTTCTTTTGCTTAGCTGACAATGCATACCGTATCTACGCAGTCGACATTGAAATGAAAAAGCTAGTCAGAGACGTCCGTCAAGCCCAGGGCGCCATCTCCGACGTCTTTTGCGCCCGGGTCATGAACGTGCAGCTGGACGACGACGCCTTGCCGGAGCACGAGAGGAGGCGGATTCTCGCCACGCTGGGCGTCGACATGGAGGCCGTTTTGGATCCTGTGTACGGCCAGGAGCTGGTTCGGCACCGGATCGGGACGTTTCTCTCGCAGGACGACGTGCTGAGGCGTAGCATGGAGAAGGTGTTGGAGGATGTGCATCTCGGCCAGAATTTGAGAAGATACTCTGTGTGAGTTGAGTGAGTGTATGCAGCAGATGAAGAGTTGAAGCACCCAAATGGTGGTAGCATTATGGGCTGGCTCGAAGTTGATGGCCGGGTACCTCTCGTATGTACCGCAGAACAGGGGTTCCCCAGCTGACCAAATGCAAGCTGCCTATTGGCCGGGCTAAACTCGGGAACCTCTCGGATCTGGAGGAAGCGGGTCGGGCAACGCTCCATCCCCACCTGACGTCACATCATAAGTTGTAAGCTCCCGAAATGCGAGCTTCTCGGCCTTCAGTAAAGGTAAAGGGTAATCTATCTGCTGTAACAGGTATAAGGCAGACCAAAGGGACTATGAAAGCGGGCAACGCCGTGAGAAACGGCACTTTCTAATCGTATGTAGTTAAATAGTCAGCACATCTGTTCATCCTTGGTATTGAATCTTGTTGAACTCGAGTCGAGCAAGGCATGGATGCAACAGCCGGCCGCTTCACGGCAACTCTCGCGCAGCTTCGAAGACCGAGACTCATTCGGCTCCATCACAGCTTCATCAGCCACCATCACCGTCTTGCTGTAGCCCAATCTCTGTCTCGAGCTCACTCTCAGTCTCATCCTCATTCTCATACTCAGGCAAGACGCCGCTCCTCACTCTGTTCCTCATCCACTTATAGACCATCCCCATCTCATCCCCAACCAACATCACCATCACCCATCACCACCAAGCCCTTCACAACAACAATGAACGTCCCCCAACCCGTCCAAGCCCCCCTCACCAAATCCGCAACCTTCCTCGTCCTCACCATCACCGACCCCTCCTCCCCCTCCTCCCTCAAAACCATCCGCTCCGCCCTCGCCAGCATCGAGGACCTCTCCAAAAACGTCTCCATCCGCGACCTCAACTCCAACTTCTCCTGCACCGTCGGCATCGGCTCCACAGCATGGGACCTCCTCGTCCCTTCATCCAGTAACCTCCCCAAGCCCGCCGAGCTCCATCCCTTCCGCCCCGTCCACGGCCAGCGCCACTCCGCCCCCGCCACCCCGGGCGACCTGCTCTTCCACATCCGCTCCGACCGCCGCGACATCTGCTTCGAGTTCGAAAGCCAGCTCCTCCGGCTCCTCGGCGGCGGCGACGGCCACGCCGTCACCGTCCAGGACGACACCCAGGGCTTCCGCTACTTTGACGCCCGCGACCTCCTCGGCTTCGTCGACGGCACCGCCAACCCCGCCGCCTCCGCCCTGCCCGAGGCCGTCCTCATCGCCCAGGGCGACGACCACGAGGCCTGCGTCGGGGGCAGCTACGTCGTCGTCCAGAAATACGTCCACGACATGCCGTCCTGGCGCGCCCTCTCCACGTCCGACCAGGAGGCCATCATCGGCCGCACAAAGGCCGACAACATCGAGCTCGACGACCAGCCCCCCGGCAAACAGCAGCCCCACAAGACGCTCACCACCATCGAGGACGAGCACGGCAACGAGCACGGCATCATGCGCGACAACATGCCCTTTGGCTCCCCCGCGTCGGGCGTCTTCGGGACCTACTTCATCGGCTACTCGCGGAGGCTGTGGGTCGTGGAGAAGATGCTCGAGCGCATGTTTGTCGGCGATCCGCCGGGGAAGCACGATCGCATCTTGGACTTTTCGAGGGCCTTGACGGGTTCGACGTTTTATGTTCCGCCGAATTGGGTGTTGGGCAAGTTGGATGAGGATTGATGAACTCGTTGAACTTGGGTTGCTGAGATTTAGTTTGGCCGGAGAGCGAGCGTTGAGACTCTGGGTGAAGCGTGATGGTATATATCGAGACCCTGATGTGAAATATAAAGACGGATATATGAAATGACATATAAGACTGATTCATCACCACTCCTGCAATTCACAAGACTCAAACTCTTTCACCGCTGTGATCCTCGACATCAGTATAAAAAAACGGAAAACCCCATTGATTGAACATTGCTTTGTACCAGTCTATTTGCCATACCGCGAAAAACCACAGCCAAATCTCTCTGCCCTATTTCGTAATCCGTAGCCATTGCTCCAGGGGAGCTGGGCCCTCTTTGCCCCTCGCTTGGTGCCACGTCCAGCTCCATTCCCGGGCTGGCCTGACATGGCCCACTTGCCTATGCATTTCTATCGGTGCTTGTTATCTCAACATATGGCTCCCCGTAATCAGGGTTCCTCCGAAGGGAGGCAAAGTAAAATCGCGAGGAATGTTAATGACAAAGAAGAACAGAAACCCCCTCGGAAACTCAATGAAACACAGGGCTAAAAACAAGAGACTGCTGTATATCAGCCCAAACTCCCCCTTAAACTCCATAGCCGCTTCTATATCAAATCATTCGGGACTCGTCGTCATCCGTCTCAACCTCACCGAGACAGCAAACGAGCTATATTGCGTTTGCGTCATCCAGCTCGCCAATCTGCTGGACTCCAAGGTCGGGCTGGCCATCGAGCGCATCTGATGAGATGCAAGAGCCCTCCCAGTCTAGATGGGTCAAGTCAGACTCATCAACACACGACAGAAGATCAACGATTGGGGGAGGTTGCTAGCATACCAGAACCGTCATCCTCCACCTCATCCACGACGTATTTTCGTAATGAGCCGAGCACCTCTGGTTCCATCCTGTTAGCATGTTGCTCTCAATGTAGGGCGCCGCCTTTCATCTCAAGTATGGTCGGATGAGGAATGCTCACCTTCCTGCAACGTCCTAAACTCAAGGCTGATTTCGTCGTCGGGCTCCGGCTCTGGATTGTAATAGGAGGAGCATCTAGCAACCACCCGGACCACGGCGCTCGCAGACTCCCGCCCAATACCCTTGCGGCGGCGTATGTGCTCATCCTGAAGATACAGCAAACACGATATCCCCAGCCTCTGGATGAGAATTCGTGAGCCCTCTCTTTCCTCCTGCCTCTGCGAATCTTCGTCCGAACTGTCCGCTGCAGGGCCAAAGAGTTCCTTTTCCAGAAAGCATTCGGTTTCGTACCTCACCTCGCCATCTGGAAAGGCGACAAGGTGAGGCACCCAATCCGGCAGCGTTTCTAGGCTGCAGGCCTCCGCGGTTTGCACCATCTCAACGTCACTCCTCTTCAAGTTGAGCGCTGTTTGGAACGTCTCTAGAAACGCCCTGGCTTCGTCTGTGCTCTGTAGGCTTCCAGCCTGCGCGGCGATGTGGCGCAGGAGAAGCTCTATGTTACTAGCCGAGGGCGTGTGTTCGAGATAGGTGCCAGCGCCTCGCAGGTATGGATCCATTGGTTCCGTCGTGTCACACTGAATTCTTTTCCGCAGAGTGTTGAGTACCCTCAGGTCCATCTGGTTCGACAATGCCGTCAGGCGGCCAAGGATGCCGTGGGTGGCCTCAAGGGCTTGGTCGATGCCCAGTAGCTTTTCCACAAAGAGGCTGGCCAGCTGACGCTCTGGGTAGCTGTGAATCAGGAACACTTCTTCCGATGTCCAGGGGAACGGCGGCTGGCAGAAGCGCAATCGGTCCTCCGCTGCGTCAACAATGCTCTGCGCATCCACGGTGGGGTCAAGCTGGGAAACCAGGTAGTTGATGAGATTCAGGATCGATAGGTACGACGGGGGTCTGTTAACCGCTCGCCGGTAGATACTGTGCAACATCTTCGCATAGTTCGGCGGCAGCTCCATAGACACGTCGGCCGCAACGATGCGCAGAAGCTTGAGCAGATAATCGTTGGCCAGCATGTGCGCCGCCTCTCGCGGTCCCAGTTTGGCAAACTCGAGCATCATGCCAAACACTTCGTCCCAAGAGCGGAGATGAAACTGGAAGTGTTGCCAAAGATAGTCAAATGAGCACATCACCCCGGTCAAGACAGAGGATTTTGGAGAAGACTCGTCGTGACCCAAGGGATTGGACGTAAACTCGCCTTCCCCATCATGTCGAGCATCTTCATCAACGCCTCTTGGTTCATCGTAGAGCTGAGGCGTCTCTGTGGCAATTTTCCCCAGTACAATAACCATAGTGGCTCCAGCAAAGGCACGGATCTTGGCTTCCGGATTGCGCTGTACCAAGCCCCTGAACGCCTCGTGACGCGTATTGAAGTAGTTGAAGAACGTAAGCGCGCAGTCTCCACACTCAACAACGGCTGCTCTGATGAGGCTCGAGAATGACTCAAAATTCGGCGTCCCTTGTTGCCGGCTCACCAGCTGGTCAAGATGGCCGAGAGCCATTTCCATCGCTAGGTCTTTGAATGCGTGGGCGGGCATTGCTGTTGTATCCTTGCCGGACCCCTCAAGCGGTTGCTGCTGCTGTTCCTGGCCTGTGCTATCCTGACCGATGCTCTTCTGGAGGAGCCCTGCGTGCTTGAAGCAGTGTTGCACAAACTCAGCGTGACTTGCATCGTATAGGCAGTGTCGCTTGAGAATGACGGTGTTATCGTTCAGGATGTGTTCTCGAAGCAGAGGATCAGTGTCAATCTGGAAAGGAATAGTGCTCTCCGGGGAAGACGGCATCGACTGCTGCTCTGCGAGAAGAGACGAGGAGCGCTGGTAGAACAGCATGTAGGCGCTGTAAGTCTTGTCACCAGGCTGTCGGTCGGGACCGTGTGGGCTGCCATGCTGAATCGGGCCGCCAAACGTGCTCGCCGCCATCTGACGCGGGTCCCAGGGCGTTACGGTATCATCATTGAACTCTACCCAGCTGGAACAGTCTGTAGTCGACGATCGCTCTCGTATATACGAATAGTAATGGCCTGATTCCGCCGTACCAGAGTGGACGAGGACACCAACTAGCTCAAAAACGTCGCGCGAACTCGTATCCTTTGTTGGATCGCTGAGATAGTCGATTGTGTACGGGCGCATGTCGATGCTCGGCGGAAATACAAAATGGTCGTTTACTTTGCACCGTTGCTGTGTACGGACGTTGAAGTCGAACCGTTTCAGATGGAATATCAGATTGTCGGGCAAGTCTTTCAAGCATGTCCTACCGATTGTCAGAGTCAGATGTTCCCTTATGATTCTTTCCTCTTCTTGCCAGTAACTTACCTCTTCACAGCATCGACATGTTGGTCGCAGGACGAGCATTTGTACTTGTTATCTGTAAAAATATCATCAGCTTGTGAGCTAAGGCAAGAAAGATTCTGCATGGGGTTGCATTTTCCACTTACCACCTTCCAAGACCTCTCCGTCAACGTAAGCTTGGAGGCTTTCTTGGAGCGTCTTCTTCCCGTTGATGTCGCACTGGATGGCCGAAAATGGCTCGAGTCGCTCAGAAACATGCTCACACTCCTTTGACTTGATCTGCTGGACGAGCTGTCCACCATAGATGGACCGTAGCTTTTTCCTTTCACTTTCCGTCATTGACTGGCTTTCCAATCGGTCAAACAGCAGACTATAAAACTCTTCCACGTCCATCTGGTTGTGGATGTCTATCATGGCGTCTTCATATGTCTTGATAGAGCTGACCAGATCTGTAGGATCGACACAACGGCGGTAGCTTTCCTGCATGAAACCAAAGAGTTTCTGCATATGGAACAGCAGTTGCTGGGAGTGGCTTGGATCCTGTATGTTGAACTCAAGCACGAATTGGCGAAACCTAGTGTTCATGAAGAGCTGGGTGAGAAGTGAGTTGAGATAGCACGTGTTGGAAAGATTCTGCAGGCCCACGTAGCCGTGCGATCTTATGGCTTGGTTGCGGTTGAAATTGTAGGGCAAATCGTATATGTACGGATCGAGGCCATCATCCTCGTCTGCGAAATAGGGGACGAGGGAGTTGAGGTGTTGGAGGATCGCCCAAAATCGACTGGGGTAGTCTTTTGTGAAGGCGAATATCGCTTCGTACAGCCTCGCGCGCGTGTCCGTCCTCAACACCACCCTTGGCACCGGCTGCGCTGGCTCAACTCGGCGCTGCGGGAAAAGGTGGCTCTGGAACAAGACCTCGGCAAGATTGTCTGGAAGGGACGGAGAGGAGGGTAGAGTGCTATCCAGCTGTAGGCACCTGAGCAGAAGAGATGATAGACCAGCTGCAGCGTAATCCTGCGATTCCGGCTTGTCGAGCCGCTCAGTCGAGGTGTGACTAAGGAGCAGTTCACAAACATGTCTGGCGAAAGCTGTGATATCCACTTCGGAAGGCATGATGAGGCTCATTCTGCAGAATAAGTACTCAAGCACGTCAAGCAATTCCTGGCACCGACTTTGGTTGCCGATTACCTCTGGGAGAAGGGCCGAGGTAGTAGACCAAAAGTAGCGCGTCAGCGGATATGCCAGTCCTCCAACATCCTCCTCTTCTGGCAAGACTGATTCAGGACCATTGACAGAGAGCTCTTCTGATTCTGCCGCCGTTCTGATCATGTTAACAACACGGCTTCTGAGCTGTGGGCGAGAGTCCCAAAGGATTAAGTCATGGAGGACATTTCCGAACGCCGAATGATTCGCAACGCTCTCCATGAACGCGCTCTGCGACAGACATAGCCGTAATATGGCTAATAACGTGTTTTCGATCAAAGACAGTGAAGCCTCATCTTCCCTGGCCATCCCTGCGTCTGCCAATATAGAAACGAGGCGACCTGCGCTCGGATACGTAACAGACGTTTCCGCTGACGGCTGAATGGTGTGTAGGAGTGTTACAAAGGTCTGCATTAAGGCCTCCATGACCTGGATGCTTAATCTGGAGCTGATTTGATGTAGAAAGGTCTCGTCAGAGATGGCCTGTACAATTAAAGAAAGACATGATCTTAACACTTCTTCGTTTGGGATCTGACGGAATCCATGGTCGTCGCCACCAGAGTCTTCATCATTAGTAGACTCTTTCGAGCGAACGGGCTCAAGGTACTTGGAAAGAGCTCCAATCGCATAGAGGGTTTTATAAGGCTGCCCAGGCGGGAAAAGATCGGTGTACACGGTGGTTTGACTCTCCAACAAGTCGATGATATGGCCGTCAACGGGAAGATCGACGAGAAGGCGAAAGACCTCACTCGCAATCTTGTCTTCCATACTGAGATAGCTCCAGAGCTCTGGGAAACGCGACAGGATTCCAATCTCTAGTGGGGATGCGCCGTGCTGGATCCGAGTGGAATTTGCATTGTCGTCTCCTTCGCGTATTACCAACATTATGCCGTCTTCGACCTGTAAACTCTCTAAAGATTGGGCTATCTGCTCCATTAAGGGAAGGAATTGCCGCCCTTTGTAAATGATGCGGAAGTTGCTGAAACCAGTCTCGTGCCGCAGGTTGGATATCAGAGCAGCAGCCGTGTTCAGCTTCCCAATGCGCAATGGCTTCACTTCTGTCTTTGGACCACTGTCAAAAGTCTGGTACTTGAGCGGCAAAAGCTCGCCTTCAACTTGATATAGCTGCTCCTGGAAGTATGGTCGGAAATCGGGAGCGCTCAGGGTAGGAATCGCAAAGTGAGCCTGAACGAATACTCTGAGAAGCTGCAGTGTTCGGGTGAAGACGCGTTCCTGCTCCTGTATCTCGTCTTCGGTTGCGACAATCACCATCGGCTCGTCTTCGCCGCTTGATGTCCCATCGCTCGACGCCTTAATCTTGCTCGCGGAGACGCTTAGTTGGTTCAGGCAGCGCTCGACAAAGGTTGAGCGAACCCGACGAGCCCGATCAAACGAATACGTTTTGATGGCGTGGCTTTCTAGGTAGACGCCAACGGCCAAGCTGTGAATCCCGTCCTCTGCAATCTCGGCGCTGTTGACGTCCATGATGACTCGCCAGAGCTGCTCAATACCGTTCTCCTCGAGGAATGTCTCGTCATCGAGAGCGCAATCGACATCGGCGTTGTTGACTGCCGAGGCAACTATTTTCTTGATGAAATTAAGCAATCCCTTGCAGAAGCAGGAAGAAGGGAGCTCCGGCAGGTACCGGGAAAAGCAAAGTCGCAGAAACGGATTCTCAAACGCCATGCCAAGAGTAAAGTCCATGAAGATCTCCCAAGCCGTATTCCTATCCTCTTCGCAAAGACTGGCTGGCCCGACAAGCAGGTCCAAAAGTTTCCTGCCCAAGTCTTCGGATATTGCGTCCGGTCGGAGGCGGATGAGATTTGCAATGAAGTCTTTCCTCGGATGATTGACCTGTCCGAAAAACACCGGACGGATACCGGCAGACCTTGTCGACTGAATGGCATGCTCCAGCTCTTCCACCAGCAGCCGCACCAAGTCATGCTTTTCGATCAGAAAGTTCATCTCATCAGCCATATTCGGACGGATGGTAATGGTCAAACAACATAGGCTCCCCAAGGTAGTTGGAGATTTTGCTGCAATGTCTTTGATGCAGCTTGCATATAACTCCTGACGACCCTCGCTGTCCGGACCATAGAAGAGCAAGCCTTTCAGCTTTTCCGTTGCTGCTTTTATTTGCGCATCTGGGATGTACATCTGGAAAGTGGTTGAGTGGAGAAACGCCTCCCTCAGCAATCTCAAACAGAGGTCGTATGGAAGGAAGCCAAGCGTAATGCCCTCCGTTTTGCACCGCATCATAAGCTCGTGGTGGACGACTGCCCAGTAATTCTTCAGCGTCTGGTTGAAGTCTTTCATCGGAAGAGCCTGGAACTTCTCACAGAGAAAGAGCAGCGTGGGATAATCGAAGAGGTTCGTGATCGACGTCGCCATCTTGGCAACAGCTTTCTCTATCCGAGGGTCCTGACTCTCGGTGAGTCGCTGCCATAGACGCTCGGTATGGGCCTTGTCGTACATCTTGGTGACTACCAGGTATCCGATGATGTTGGCGCTCTCATTAATGAGCTCTGGGTGGCAATTGGGCCCGAGGATGTAGTCTACCAAGCCCGTCTGGAGGAGATGGCGACCCAGGTAGTCGGTGAATTGCGGGTTTGGGCTTGCACTAGGGACACCGAATCGCTTCCAGGCAGCGACGAGCTCGTTGCACATGGTGGTAGCTGCCATCACCCGCAGCTGCAGCTGACTGGATCGAATCAGCCTCCCAAGGATGTCCACCTTCCATTCCCATGTGATGGCATCGAGAGTCCGGGCTCCGGCGAGGTCAGGGTATTTTGCCCGATGCTCTCTGAGTAGTGGAATAGTTTGGTCGTGATCACACTGGAGGCATAACCGGAGCATATCTGACAATGCTATAATTTGCAAAGAAACACCTTCGCTGCTCAAGGTTCCCACATGCTTTTCAATGATTCCTGTCAAGAGGGACGACAAGAAGGTCCAAGTGCGGTAGGCCGCGCTCAGATGTGGAGCAAAGTCCGACGCATTGTCCGTGCCGGCAAGGATAGCCCGCGAGGACTCGTACAGACAATCCGTGAGTACCTGTGCTATAGGCGTGAGGATGTTTACGAGGTTCGGGACTGTCCGCACGACTTCGGCTAGACTGGTCAAAAGGGTGCAAAGAGACTCAAACCCGCCTCCGGTAAAGGAATACAGCCCGTCTGCGAAGCATATGGCGAGGTTTGGTCGATCTATCCCATTGGGATTAGCCAGGAGAGAGTCGCTCACCGAACCAAACTGTATCAATTGGTGCAGCTGTCGAAGATAGCCAGGAGAAATCAACAGCGGACCCGCAGGATTTGGCGACGGTCCGCTGGCTTGCCAGTCGGTGACGGAGTGGTAGTCGACGATGACGAGCTGCGCCGTGAGCGCAGCGAAGGACTGCGAAAACAGGAGCGCCAATGTCTGTATGGGTGACACCCTTGGACGAGCCGAAGAGGGAGAGCTTATTGTTATGAGTTAGCTGATGTTCTCCCAGAACGTAACAATGGGATCCAAGGATATTGCATACTTTTCGTCCGCAATGATTGCGGAAACACCCAGGAAAGTCTGCCAGAAGGCTGCGTTGGTATGCACCGACTCGAGGATTTCCGCTGGGCTCGCCGTCTTTGCAAACGCGACAAACAGGTCCGCCCACAATCGGATCTGGTCGTAGATGTCTGCTTCTGCTTCCACGGAAAGATCTGTGCAAACCGAGAATTAGCCTTTGAAGAGTTACATTGCAGGGCATTGCGACATGACCAACCATCTAATAGGAATTGGCGTAGGCGACTCGCAGTCTCAGACAATGGCTTATCAGACTCATGGTAAGGAAAGCGTGTGGTGGGATCTACCAGCGGAGTAGCATCACTACCGGCTTCTGGGCTGGGCCTGTCGGATTTAGGTTCGATGGCCGTCTCATCCGGCATATCTTGGTCTCCGGGGAACAGGTCTTCCGTGGGCGGGCTGAGGGACGCACGCCAGGCCGGGGGCGGCGTTTCTAGGTCTGCGTCGGAAGGGGGATCAGCTTCCTCGACGCTCTTCTTGGCTTTGTCCTCTTCGGGGGTTGGCACTCGGAGTGCAGATGGAGAGGTGGAGCGCACGGCGGATGGAGAGTATAGGAATGGCTCGCGGGCAGGACGGGTGGGCGAGGCTGTGGAGGCCCTCGACGACGGGTTCCTCAGATTGATGGTGACTCGGTTCGACAGAGGAGGATCGGGAGGGATGGTGGGCGAGTCGACGGTCGGGGGCGGGGTGCGAGGCTCATTGGAGTCGGGGCTGGGCTTGACGGTCCCGTCCAGAGGAGGAGGCATGGCGTTGACGGTGGTGTAGTAGGGGCTGGAGCTGGAGTCTGACATATAGACAGCCGTCTCGACCGAGGCCGAAGGCGAGCCTGAGGCTGAGACGGATGTGCGCCGGCGCTTGCGGGACGAGATGTCGCTGTCGTCGAAGGGATTCAGGCGGGTCGAGCTTGGCTCAGGAGAGGCCTTGGGACCTGCAAAGTCGGACATGGCCGGAACCAAACTCATCTGGCCGGTGAGGAAGAGCGTGGACGCACGAGGCCTGCAAGCCCACAGACGTCGGGGCGACGCGAGGGCCGTCTGGGCGGCTGCTATGGAAAATTAACATGTGAGAGTTGGGACGAGGCGAGAGGGCGAGATAAGCATAGGGCCAGAGGTGCGGTCACAGGGCGAACAGAGGCTACAGCGCGAGGCACCGCGGTGACGGGATGCAGCGACAGGTGATCTGGGCGGCCAGACCGATGCCTATAAATGCTGGGGGAGAGAAAAGAAAACGGCGATGCGGCTCGCGATGAAGTCAGAATTGGCGTTGGAGGGACGCGGTGCTTGGGTGGAACTTGGGCGAGGGGTAGCTCAATTGATATCATACCTTCAGGTTGGCCGCCTACCTTACCTCGAGCTTAGCTGACCTAAGGTAAGGTGAGTGAGGTACATGTAACCTGGCTTGCTCTGCCGCCTGGCCTGCTTGCTTCAGCGGGTTTGCTTTACTAAGGTGCTTGGCTGCCTGCCTACCTTAACTGCAGTGCCGCCAGGACAAGGTACAGGTACCTTGGAAACAGCCTGCAAGACAACTGGAACCTGAGAAGATCAAAGAATTAATTGCCAGCATGCAGGTAATGGGGAATCCGAAGCGGGGAGGGCCAAAGTGCAAGGCTAATGCGCCTGTGTCGTCTCGGCTGGCGTTGGATGTTAGCGCAGTACAAGTACCTGCGTCCCGAGATCTGGATCGGGTCCTGTTTGGTGACGGTGGCAGTGACAGTGACCGTGACACAGCAAGGATGGGACGGGTGAAGTCAAGGTATGCCCACCTCTTCCGCTGCAACGCTGCAATGAAAGAGTGAAATGAAAGCTTCGAAGATTGGTGGGCTTTGATGCTTTTATCTCTTTTTCAGCCAGAGCAAAAACATCCGGAGGGCCACCAATTCCTTGGGACGTCTGTTGGGAGGTCTCTGCACTTTTCTGCTAGCGCTTCCAACAGAAGCTTAACCCTCCATGTGGCATAAAGTTCGAGGCGAGTACTGATCGCTTACAATCACGGCCGTTTCTTCTCTTGTTTTAAGCGAGCCTGGTGCACTTCTTTTCTTTTCTCTTCCTTTTCTCCCTTCTGCCATTTCAGGTTTAGATACCGACCTACCAATCAACGCTGGTGACTGCTTCCACACGGGGCCTTTGTCGTATAACCACCGGGTACTACTGGCAAAGGCAAAACTACAATCACCGAGGGCTCACTATTAGAGGTACCCAACAAGGCCTGGAACGAATTTCATCGAGGCAGCTGGGCAAACAGAAAAACAACGTAAACTGAAAAATTAGAATAATAAATTGCAAAGCTTATATTTTATGAACAAATGTCATGGCTGCTATCCTGGTGTACCTTTTACCATGCTGCGTTCCCTGTTCCCTGCTTAGCGCATACTACCGGCAGCAGTTGTTGTACTTTGTACCTCGAGAGCCATCAGATGCAATCAGCACGGGCAGGTTTTGACAGCAAAAATGGAGCCAAGCATCAGTGAGCCTCCATCAGACCGCAGTCTTTCCCCAAGGCTGGCCCGACACAAGGTACTCCTATCTAGTATCTAGTATATATCATAGATGTGTATTAACCAGTATTAGACACCCGACAAATAGCACCATAAGATGATGGTATTTGTCAGTGTCGACATTCGACTTCTTTTTCTTTGCGCATTCGCGAGTGCTTCCAGCGGAGGTTCACGGAGAGGCGCAGAAAGGACAGAAGAGGTACGTACCTGCTAGCCTCGCTCAGTGAGAATTTCAAGCGTCGTCTCCAAAAACCAGGCATAACCAGTGTCTGAACATCATTCCCATCATACTCCTCTCACCCCCTGATATCTTCACGCTCGCGTCTCAGCATCACAGCCTCAATTTCATCGTCAATTTGATAAATTGCTTTGCCCGCGTCGTTTATCAATCATGGCAGCAGCAGCGCCATCATCGAAGAAACGGCTTGTCCACCAACTCGACACGCCCTTCTCTACTTCCTCATGGTGCGTCCATCTCCAAGCGGCCGAACTGAGAGTACATGTGACTGACCAGCTGATTTTGGCAGGCCTGTGATATCAATAGACGACCAAGATTCCATCCTGGAGCTCCTCTGCCAGTATGCATATCCCCCTCCGCATTTGAAACCACCAAACACAGTCCTTTCTGTGCCATGCATCTCGTCGTGGTTGGGCACAAATTCTTGTACTAATAGCTGCTACCAAAGTCTTCTGAGTCCCATTGGGCAGCATCGCAGACTGCACATCAAGCCCTCCAAGGGAAAGCGAGCCGCCAAGAGGGAGAAGAAGACCAAGATGAAGGTGGATGAGCTTTCAGACTCCATCAAGATGGAGGCTCCGCCACTTCCAGAGCTCAGCGCAAGCGTGGATATCGGCTTCAATTCCATTACCAAAACCCTCGGATCTCTCACGCAGCCATCCGACGGGACGGCTCACTCCACCAAGGGCTATTCCATGGTTTTCGTCGCCAGGGGTAGCCAGTCACCAGCCTTCAACAACCACTTCCCACAGATGGTCGCCGCCGCGTCGCGAAACCTGCCGGACAAGGAGAAGATACGGCTCGTCGGCTTCTCCAAGCCGTGTTCCGAGAGACTGGGCAGTGTCCTTGGCATACCGAGGGTCTCATCAGTGGCTATTTCGCCGCATGCGCCGGGGGCAGACGCGCTATTTGCTCTTGTCCAGAGCACGGTGAGCCCAGTTGAGTCGCCGTGGCTTAACGAGGCGGCTGTCACAACGTACAAGCCAACTCGGATTGCCTCCCTGGAAACGACTATAGGAGCTAAACGCGTGAAATGAAGAAAGAACAAGCTTTCTCTGTTCATTGTCGAAGTTCTCGGGGAGCGGTTATAAAGGTGGCTGTACGACATCACAGCGACGGGAGTAATTTAGTATTGCAGAGTATTGAATCACGTCATAGTATCACTGAAGCGATATAGCATAGCAGTTTCTCGAACATATACCATTGCAAATTACTACTAGGTACGGAGTACTAGGCAGAGAATTCCTACTCAGGTGACTACTGCCTCAGAAACGGAATCCTCAGTGCTGTCACTATGGTCAAAGGACTGAAGCCCAAGTGAAACCAGTCGTGGTGCTTCACGCACTCTCTCTGCAAGGCATCAAATTTCACAATTCAATAAGGCAGATCAAGGAGAATGTAGAACTGAAAGCCAATGCTCTTCTGTTACCTATTCCATACCACGTGCACAGAAAAAGCAGCTGTCATCTCATCTCTTCCGTTAGAGGCAGCTGCCATCATTCATCCTGCCTCGCACCGATTCACCTTCTTTCACCTTCCTCTTCCTCCCTCAGGCTCATTCACTTTTGCTTCACTTTCCGAACTTCTTCACTTCTTCGACCACGCCCACCGAGAGCTTCTCCGTTCTATGCCGCCAGTTCTCTACCAGGGTTTTCTTCCCATCTTCACCATCTCTCTCCCAACAGAGCTGTGATTTGGCCTCGCTCGAGTTGGAAAATGAGTGGCTTCCAAGACCCTGCGAAACTGGCGGCGGCCAGAGAGCTCGCTCAGAGCTTCTCGAAGATGAAGGACCCAAAGAAGAAGAAGGGCGGCAGCGGCGGCGGCGGCCAACAACATCAACAGAAACAGTGGGAGGCATATCCGCCACAACATCATGGTCATCACGCCCAGTTTGTTCCACAACAATCCTGGCAGAGCGCTGGCCCTCCCATCAGCTCGGTGCCGCCTCCCAGCCAGAGGATGTATGCTACTACCACATCCTTCTCGACTGGAAGGGCCACCAAGACCAGCGTCATTGGAAACGCGGGTTTAGATTTCATCAAGCAAGCTGGTACGAGGCCTCAGAGTATGTGAATATGTACTATTTCCAGCTATTAGAGCACCGCAGGATTGTTTCCAAGGAGATATTGACATAACAGCAGCAGGACAAGTCCAACCGAACCAAGTTCCTATGACGAGTCAGACGCTGTATACTGGCTTTCCATCCGAAATTAGCAGCAATGGTGCTGTGGACTATACCCAATTTACCTCTGGTTTCTCGCAGCCCGCCGCTCCTGGAAACATTCTCGAGACTTTCTTTGCCATCGCGGCGAAGAAGCCGACACTCGGGCAGGAGATTGAGACCTTGACCGAGATCTTACCCAAGGCTATGGATCTCAATGCCAAAGGAGCAACAGCCACGAACGCTCAGGCAGATCAGCATGGCTCCTATGCGAACGGCAGCCAAGAGCAGAATGGAAAAAGTAAGCCCTTGGGCCATCGCATGTCTCGTGTACCGATTCTTAGCTAACATGAGTCGAAGTAGAAGTGCAGGGCAACAGTGATGCAAAGATCAACAATGGCCACACTTCTTCTCGGACAACCGACAAGGAGGTGACCCAGACTCGAGGCTCACACTCGCGCAAATTGTCTCCCGTTGCGGCGATCTTTGTGCCAGCCAACAATTCAGCTTCGCAACAGTGTACCGGTGTCGAGTCGAGATCCTCTGCTGCCCAGCAAACCAAGGGATTATCAGCCTCGATGTGGGCATAAAGGCAGAGACGAGAGTTGGTACTGGCGGTTGTGACCAACAATAGGTATTAGGGATAGCGTGATGATTTTGATCTGATGCAGACATATCTACTCGACGTTGCTAAAGGATATCTATTCGCCAAGGGCAGACGAGTGCTATTGGTCTAGGGGTGACAATGCTCGAGTGGCCCTCAAAGTAGGCATGGCATATTCGAGAAATTGGAATTCAATCCTTTATTGATGATGTAACACAGTCATGTAAACCCGGTGCCTTGTTCCGTTGCTCCAACCCAAACCAACGCTCTCTGCCATCTACTACTATTTCCATTCTAGCCTTCAGTTTCAGACCATCAAGGCAAACTCTTCTCCAACAACTTGACTCCTTCGCGAACCTTTGGCGAAAAATGCTTCTTCAGAAGCTCGCCCTCCCACACCGTGGCGGCAAAGGGATTGCTGCCCTCGACGGTGTCGCTCAGGGCGTTGTGCCTGCCGTCGCCCTTGCGCTCCTCGGTGTTCCACAGGCTGGCAATCTTCTTGCCGTGCGTGGCGGCAATGTCGTTGAGCAGGCCGAGGGCGGCCTGGCAGGACTTGTCGGGCAGCTGCAGGGCGGCGGTCATGAGCTGCTTGGTGAAGGCGGCGAGGCGGAGGGGCGGGACGGAGCGGATGTTCCAGGGCGGGAGGAGGATGGCGATGAGGGAGCGGATGAGCAGGACGGTGGTGGTCTGGACGTTGATCCTGGACGCGGACGAGGCGGAGGAGCGGTTGGGCTTTGTGAGCTCGAGGTCTGGGTGGACGGCGAGGGAGAGGAGCGAGGTGAAGAGGTGGGTGGTGAAGAAGGTGAGGTCGAGGTGGAGGGTGTTGCGGGAGTTGTGCGCGTCCTGGCCCTCGAGGAGGGCGAAGGCGGTGACGGTGCAGAGGAGGGCCTCGCGGGTGAGGTTGCGCGCGGAGACGCTGTCGTCGTCCTCGTGGTCGGCGGCGAGGTCCGCGGCGGCGTCGTCGTCGCTGTGCCGGATGAGGTCCTTGAGCGCCTCGAGCAGGTCGCCGAAGAAGTCCTGGTTGATGAGGTGCGCGTACTTGGCCAGCCCCTCGAGCACGGCGCCCATGAGCCTGGGCGCGCGCATCTTGAGGATGCGGAAGTAGGTGGCGAAGACGAGCTTGAGCGTCTCCGACTGCATCTTGTCGCGCTCCTCGTGGTCGACCAGGGCGTCGGCGGCGGCCATGTCCTTTTCAAGCGACTTTTGCTCCTTGATGGCCTTTCGCATCCGCTTCGTTCGATATTCGCGCTGCTTCTTCTTCATCTTGTTGGCTTCTGGGCGTTCGACCGTGTCTTGTGAGGCCTTGCCGGCGAACTCGGAGAGGAGACGGAGGCTGAGGAAGAGGTTGAGGACGCTTTCGTCCACTTCGTAATCCCGCGCCTTCATCATCTTGGAGAGCAGCGAGACGGCCTCCAGTGTGGGCTTGCCGTCCTCGTCCTCGCGGAACAACGTCTCCAGCGCCTGAAGACACTTGGTCCCGTTGCTGTCGATCCTCTTCCGGCTCAGCTTGTTGACCAGGATCCTCAGCAGGTCGGACCGGAAGTTGAAGTGCGGGACGGCGGCTATCAGCGTGCAGGCGCATGTGATGGCGATGCCGGCGATGCTCTGCCCTCCCTTGACGACCGGCGCCGACTCCTCCTTGGCGCACCTGGCCAGCTCCTTGACGTAGTTTTGGTAGCCCGACACCAGCGCCTGTTCAAACTGGCGCATCGTGCGGACTTCCTTGGACACCTTCTCTGCGGGGCCGTCTTCCGTCGCGGGCCGTATGCGATATCCGGGGATGATGTCCTTGTACACCGACATCTGTGTCATGAGGGCCAGCATCCGGATGGCTGGGACCTTGGACTCGCCAATGGCCGCCAGAGACTTGAGCGAGCCAATGTGTTCTTCCGGGTTCTCGTTCAGGGCCAAGGCCAGCTTCGCCAGCTCTTCCTGCGCCTCTCGAATCTGCTGAGCCTCGGAAACGGTGGGCGCCTCCTCTTGCCCTTCTTCTTCTTCTTCCTCGGCTTCTGACCCGGCATCATCCTCCCGACCCTCTAGCCACTCCGTGTCGCTCTCGACAGAGACCAGGTCCTCCTCCTGCTCCAGCTCGCGAAGAATCTCCAACCGGCCGTCGGCAGTCTTGATCGGCAGCTTGGTGCTCTCCTTGTTGGCCTTTTTGCTCTTGCGGCGACGGGACGCATAGTCGTCCTCGAGGTCCCAGCTCGCGGCCGACTTGAAGAAGTCCTTCTGGGCTTTCCGCGATTGCGCCTCGTCGTCTGAGGCGTCGTGCGCCAACTTTCTCCTCTTGGTGGCGTTGGTCGTCGTCATTTTCGCGGTTCTCGATATCCGATGATTGCTATCGAATCGACCGAAACGAGGTGAAGCGGTGGGGAGGATGAGGCTGTTCCACGATACAAACGCGAGCCTCATATGCAGAAGACGACGAATGGCAGTTCCAAAACTTTTTCCAAAGTCGATATTTTTGTTGATACATTAACTCCCGTAGTGAGCGTAAGCCTCTTGGACTCCGCTTTATCAAGAGCCCGCCCAATGAGAGATCTGATTTAGCCATTTATCTTATCTTTATCTTATCTTATAGGCGTGCGTCCAGTAAAAAAAAAGTTCCCTGCCGCCGAAATTTTCTGTCAATTGAAGCCGTCGGCCTCTCAATTCTCCCAACCAGCCATTCATTTCCCACCAACTTCAGCAACGCCCCAGTTGACAACGATGGGCTTCACGAAACCTCCCGTCCAGGCGCTCAAAGTCGCCAACAAGCAGAAGCGCAAGCAACTGTTCGTCGCCCACAAGAAGGCGAGCAACAAAGAGCGACACGAGGAGCGACACCGCCGACGGAGAGAAGAGAACCGCAATCCCGAGCTCAAGGCGGCTCGTCTGGCCAAGAATGTGCCCCGTACGCTGGAGCACAAGCGAGTCTGGGATGATGTCGACGACGATAGCCTCGGAGCGGTGGTGGACCTGGAGCAATTGAAGAGGAGGCGCATCGAGCAGGCCGAGGCGGAGGAGCGGGCGGCAGTAGAGGCGGCGGAGAAGATGGATCAGGATGACGGAGACGATGACGACGACGACGATAACGACAGTATGCTGGACTCTGACGAGGAAGACGACGAGGCAAAGGCAGAAAGGCTGGAGAGGCAGCGCGAGAAACGAGCCCAGAGAGTCCCCAGCATCGCGCCCTCCACAACGAGCACGAACCTCGACCTCACACCCACCTCGCTCGCCCTCAAGTTCCCCTCGCTCTTCACCGACGAGCCCCCGCCCGAACCAAAGATCCTCGTCACCACATCCCTCAACTCGACCATCCACGACGAGGCCCAGCTCATCACCACGCTGTTCCCCAACGCAAACTACATCCCCCGCTCCTCCCACCGCTACGGCTACAAATACTCCCTCCGCGAGATCTGCAAGTTCTCCGCCAGCAGGGACTACACCGCCGTCGTCCTCGTCAAGGAGGACCAGAAGGTGCCCACGGGGCTCTCCATCGTACACCTCCCCAAGGGCCCGACGTTCCACTTTTCAATATCCAACTGGATCGAGGGCAAGAAGCTCCCCGGACACGGCAACCCGACGAACCACTATCCGGAACTGCTGCTCAACAACTTCAAGACGCCGCTCGGTCTCCTTACCGCGAAGCTCTTCCAGACAATGTTCCCTCCGCGACCCGAGTTTGAGGGACGGCAGGTCGTTGCGCTGCATAACCAGCGAGATTACATCTTCGTAAGACGCTTCCGATACGCCTTCCGCGATAAGCGCCCGACTGAGAAGAGCGTCGTCGATGCCGAGGGAAAGCCGCTTCAGGGTGTTGAGAGTATCCGGGCGGGATTGCAGGAGCTGGGCCCGCGGTTCACGCTCAAGCTGAGACGTGTTGACAAGGGCGTTGGACGGGCGGGGAGCGAAGGCGAGGATGCCATTCAGTGGGAGTGGAAGTCCAAGATGGAGAAGGATAGAAAGCGTTTCAACTTGTAATTTGGCTTATATCATTATGGAGCAATGCTAATATTTTGATTCTTCCCATGGTCTTTGCTCGTTCATATATGCTTGCCGTCGTCACAAGATCCGCCGTTTTTGTCCACGATCTGCTACTCCGTCATATCTTACCCGTAGCCACGACTCCAGGTTCATTTGCCTTTTCTCTCTTATGCTTCAACATCTTGCTAGAGTACCTGCTTCTTCATTAGCCTTCCATTCTTCTTGTGATTTGCTTCCATAGAACTCACGAAGTAATGCCTGCTACCGCAATCAAAACTCCAAGCGCGGACTTGTCGCTCATCGGACGACCCGGAATGGCCCAGCCAAGGCCGACGATAATGCAGGTCTTGATGTGACCGACAACTGTGCTTGACACTGGGCCAGTCTGTGCCACTATGTAGAACTGAGAGATGTTGACGAGGGAAGCAAATAGTGTCGACTGCCGAGTGGTACACGTTAGCTGATGTGACCACCCATCGAGAGTAGACCAACGATAGGCGTACCAAAACAATGAGCATTCCTTTGCTCAGCCGGAGGGGCACATGCTGCAGGCTGGGGAGCCTGTCAACAAACGGAATGAAGAAGAGGAGCAAGAAGCAGGCCATTGGCGCCTGGAGAAAGAGGAGCTGCATGCTGTTCATGTTGAGCTTTCGATGGTAGCCTGCAATACCGACAGTATACAGGGACGACGCGAATACACCTGTAAAGGCGAATATGATGCCCAATAGAGAGGTCGTCTTGGTTGCGTCGTCTTCCACGGGAATCGAGTCGTAGTAGGTGACCATGCCCACTCCAAGGCAGGTGGGAATCAGCGAGAGAAGAGCCCCCCTGGGGAGACCTTGGTCGTAGAGAACAAAATTCATGATGGCGACCGTCGGAGTCAGAAGTATTCGTGCTATCTGGTAAAAGGTGACTGTCGAGTAGGCCAAGGACAGATTGGGAAGGATGACGTTGAAGCACATTGCTGTAGCCAGGGGAATCAGATGTAGCGTAGGAGCCCGGCGAGGCACGAAGATCCCAATTGGTGATCGAGAGAGTAGAAATAGGATGAACCAGGTGGTCAAGAAATGGATGGAGGCAAATTTCAGCTGGGACTGCTTCCACATCGGCTCCGAGAAGATGGCCTTGTTGGTGAAGACCTGCGAACCTCTGTTGTTAGAAGACACACATGCTCGTATGATGATCTTTCTTGGAGTCACTTGCTATTCCAACCGTTGCCAGAGTGTTGACGACCATCCATGCGATGACCTGGAGCGGATGGGAGGCGGTCTTTGTCTCTGTGGCCCCGTCAGAGGGCGCAAGGAGACCCGGCGAGGCATCTCTGGCCTCCTCTTTGCCTCCGTCTTTCTCAGGGTCATGCATTTGCTTTGCTTGAGCTTCAGCTTCGTCGGTCTGCTTTTGAATCTTTGAGATAGTACTAAGCCGTGGTTGAGCAGTACAGAACGATGACAGTAGAAGAACCATAGGAATAGAATACACTCGAAGCGGAATTCGGTCTTATCATTGGGAATGGCTACGAGATCATGAGGCAGGATCATTTTGCACAAGGTAGATTAAGTTGGAAAGTGCCCGCAACTTGACCGCCCTTTCCAGTCGCAATGTACCGGTACTGACTTCATGGTCGTCTAGCATCCATTTCTCGCTACTTTGCCTTGCAATGGATTGAAGAAACATGACATTTGCTCCTGGCCGATGCCTCGGCATATGCCTACAAGTACCGTTCCTTGTGAATCCTGCCAACCAAAGCGTGCACGCCCTCGCTATCAAGCTCACGAGACAAATTCATCAATTCAGGTAACAATATATGGCAACTGGAAAGAAAGTTCGACGGAGTATACTTGTTCACGAGGTAGATTTATGCATCTACCTTACCTTACCTTATGCAATGACCCGTGTTTGCCGCTTACATGTAGCAGAATGCAAACGGTCCCGATTCACCTATTCATGACCGTGTCCAAGTCCTCGCCAAAGTCAACGCACATCATCAGTCGACATCAATACGCAACTGCCAGCGGGCCTCGAATCGGCAAGTTCTTCTTCCTATTCCCCGGAATGGCCCCCGTCACAAACGCCAGGTTCACGCCTTGGCGGAAGAGCAGGCAGTGGGTAGAGCCACCATGGTGGAACAAGCCAATTTCGTCGCCCTTTTCCACAGCCGCAGGCAGATTCTTGGCCTGGTACTTTTCCAGAATCTCGCACGACGAAACGTCCGCCATGCCGATGTAGATGGCTGCCATGAGACCAATTGGCTGCGGGGCCTCGATGAAGAAGATGGCCCGCGTGGCGATGTGGCTGATGTAGCCCTGGGCTCGATCAGGAGCAGCCGGGTCAGGACCGTCGGGAGAGGTAAAGCCTGTGATGGTGGGCTCTGAGAAGTACGTTCCGTCGACGACCTCTGTGTGGACAACTTGGCCAGATACAGGCGAGTTCCAGCGGTGGTACGAGGTGGCGCTCAGGAACGCTTGGTAGACGGTGCCGCCTACAAACTGCTCGGCGTACTGATGCTTATTGAGCATCTCATTGACAGAGTACGCCTGCCCTTTGAGCCAGAACGAATCAAACTCGCGGACGTTTGACTGCAGGGCAAAGGGCTTGGACTCGCACGAGTTGGCCACCCACTCTGGCTGCTTTGGGAAAGCGACTGGGCGGATCTGGTCCATGTTCTTGAACTTGCGGACGAAGAAGTCATCCCAGGACTTGAAACCCCAGTGCTCGGGGTCGCCTTGCGGATCACACTGGAAGATTTGCTGGAACGTCAACTCCTGGTCGGTGACGTTGGTGTCGTTTTCGATGTGCACCAGAGAGTCCTAGCTGAGCCAGCCATCAGGAGCGGTGGTGATGACATATTGCGACTTCTCGGTCATGAGCACCTCCCTCTTCCAGGTGTCGAGAATCACTTTGAGCTTGGCATTGACCTCGGGCTTGAGGAAGAAGGCGTATCCGGAGGCTGTGGCCATTGGCCAGTCCAAGATGGCGTTGAACGGAAATCCAATCAAGCCCACGTCGTACTCGAGCTTCTTCCAGGACGGAGCTTTGTGATGCATGACAAAGTCAAACATTTCGAGCATCTCATGGTACGAATTGAGCTGCTTGTTCCCGACAGGATCCTCGTTGTAGGGAGCCTTGTCGGGGACCTCGTCGAACATGCCGGAAGCCAGCATTCGCAGTTCAGCGGTGCTCTCGATGAGTTCTTTGAGTTGCTGAACTGGCTCGCTCAGGATGAATGAACCCACTGGGGCGAAAGACTTTTTCTTGTTGACTTCCCCGACGAGGTCTCGCAACCACCCGATGAGAAGCTGCGGGTCCTTGGGTAGCCAGCCACCGACACGCTGAGGCTTCTGGCGTCTTGTTGGGAGGGGAACGAGGGATGCCACGGTGGTTGAAAGCGGTTTATGAGACTGACAGATCTATTCTTGCTGATACGATGAATGTTTGGAGCACGCCAAGGGAACATATCAGTCGAGCCCTGCTGTGACATTTATAGGGCAGATATCTGCTCCTAGTAGTATCATGATCAACCTCGCCAGGCCGAATGATGTAAGAGCCATTGCCTCCTCTTTCAGCTGGGAAGTTGCATGCATCCTCAGACATTCCGTCGTCATATCACACGCCATATGCCTCCCCCTTGCATGCCAGCGTCCGTTGCACATCGCGATTGTCCAAGCAACGGGCTATAAAATGCAGACCAAGTCGTACAAAGGACTTACATGCCCTCTACTCGGTTAGCAGGTAGTAATGGTAGCTTGGACGCCAGACTGATGTACTACTCAAAGCAGTCACACTCGCAGCGCCTCATGCAAGGAATAAAGACAGAAAGTTGGGAACTATTGCCTGAGAGTATAAGATAGCTCACGCCGTGCTCATTTACAGGCCTGTCTATCTGTCGTAGACAAGCAGAGCCGAGCTCTACGGCATACGCCGAGACTGGTATTGTCACCCGGCTCCAGGACATGGAAGCCGGAAGCCGGACACACCAATGAGCAACAACGGATGCGTCCTTGTGATGGGATCCGGGCATCTGGGGAGCTGCAGCGGCGATTGGCTTGGCGTTTTGATGGCGTCAAATAGCATGGGTTTTCAGCGGCTGAAACTGCACACTTATGTGACTATTTGTTCGACACGGCAGAGACAAAGGCGATCCTCGTCGTCATCGGATGTGTGCCGCTTCGATCGTGATGGAGAGGATAACGGGCGACACTGCTGCAGGCTTGGTGGGATCTCTTCTCTTCGTGTTGCTATACGATTGGTATTCTCTCGACAAGAGGCGCCCATGAACTTCGTATATTCGTTCTTGTAAGCATGCATAATAGCCAGCTGACTAACGTTGAACAGTAACGCTGCTGGTAGTACCTAGTTCAGCTCGAGTTATCTTTCCTCTCTCAGCGTAGCCGAATTCCATGTGGCCATGCAATACATAGTAGTAATACCTTACTCTGCCCAGTAAGAAATGTTCCGTTTAAGGAACCTGGTCGTTCCGAGGCTGTGACCCGACCGGGTTGGTTATACGAAGGCATGGCCACGATACGCGGCCCAAATGGGTACGATCTCAGCCAAGAGACCCCAGCACTCGTAATCCGTAGTCTAATTGTTTAAATGCGACCCATTCCCGGCGTCACATGTAAACACTTGTACCTAATAACATAGAGCAAATATGGCGGCGGATATGGGTTCGAGCTTTAGGACTGAAGGGGACGGGATGGAGAGGTTTGAAGAGATGAGAGGGCAAATTGATGCCTGTGATTAAAGTAGTATTTCTGGTGTGACTCCTGTCGATCCACGAGTTCACAGTGCCAGCGGCGGCTTTGCGCATCAGAACTCGGAGTACAGAAACAAGTGCTACGACTACAGGACCGCAAGCAACCTGGAAGACGCAGCGTCAGATTGATTGCTGATATATGAAGCCAAATTGAGAGCAGCTGCGAGTAATTAAACGGCGTAGCAGCACTAGGCCATTTCGAAGTGATGAGGTTGGCTTGTCCCAATCTAATCTGCCCGGAATTATTATGCTTTGGTACCTGTCGCGGGCATGACGTACTGGCTGGTACCGCCCAGGCGCTGGATCAGAACAGGGTTAGTGCCCAGTGCCTGCTCTGCCTTGTGGGCACCAACTCGGAGAGGGGCCAAGTTTCAGCATACGGCTACCTGCAGAGTACCTGGGCGACTGTCCGATTCATAGCATAACCGCCATCAGAAACGGGGGCATCTGGTCCGTATCGCGCAGGTATCTGCTCCGACTCGCCGCTTTGTCGGACAGGGAAAATCAACGCGGCGCTAGTCCCGCTGCGGCCAAGGCGCGGGTGAGATGTTCCCCTCCACATCGCAATTAAAAAGGGCCAAGGCAATCACGAGCATGGCTGGGTGATCGTCTGCCCGGAGTGGATTCGCAAAAGACCTGGAGAAGAAGCGCAAGAGTCGTCGTTCGATCCGCCATCCGCATCAGTTGAGGCGACAGCTTGAGCGGACAGACAGATGGAACGAAGCCGTGCGGACGCGCCATCACAACCGCTGCCACCGCCGCTGCCTCTGCCCTGCGCCGTGCTGCTGCCGCCTGCGAGCGCAGATGCGATTCCGATCCGATCCTGACCTGACCTGACCTGAGAGACTGCGACAGAACCCAGGAAATAGACACACCAGCCCGACGGTTGACTTAGTACCTCCAGCTGCCGCAGTCGCGTCAAGCGCTGGCCGTGTGTCAGCCAATTTCAAGGCGAGCGTTAGCAGACCATCGACGCGGCGCAGGGAACAAAACCCGGCACCCGGCGCGGCGAGCGAACGTTTTCTGCGGCTTGCGCAATATAACTTGGATACAACCGCCCGCCCTGTGCCTACCCGTCTGGACGCCCTCGCCGTTGGACTTGGACAGATCCAGCAGGAACAATCAGAAGCGTTTGTCGCATCCGGCGCACTTAAACGCATCCTGACCGTCTCTTTCGCCATTCGACAAGACCAGGGAAACCGCATTCCGTGACATGAAACGGACGATCACGGCATCGCAACCGAGCCTCTTCCTCTCCCGCCGCCTCTCCCGCTGCTTCTCCCACTGCGCCTCCCTCTCAACACGACCGCCAATGCTGTCGCCATCATCCTCCCCGGCGGCGTCGTATCCCGCCTCAACCACCTCCTCCTACCGCTCCTCGTCGCCGTCCTCGCGCTCATCGGACGCACAGGCTTCGCCTTTCCAGCGCCACGCCTTCAGCCGAAACCCATCGCCGAGCCAAGGTCAAGGCCGCAGCCGCAGCCACGCCGCCATGGAATCTGCGAGAAGTCCGGATCCCTTCATGGCCGCCTCCCTCCACCAGCCCTGCTGGAGACCCACGGTCAAGACCGCCTTGGCCAACGGTATGCATGCACCCCGATCTGGCCGAGTCCCAAAATCCGCTCCCATTTGCTCGTTGCGTGCCCAAGCCGGGTTACTGATGCATGACGGTATCAAGGCACCATGAACGGCCACCGCGGCTACTGCCAGGAGCCCGACGTCTGGCAGCAGGCGCCGGTCCTCACGGGCACCACCCAGTTCGAGCCGCGCTCAGATGTCCGCAACATCATGATCACCGGTGGCGCGGGCTTCATGTAGGTTTCCACTGTCTCAGTCGCTGCATGCATGTGCTAACTGGCGTCGTCACCACAAGCGCTTCCTGGGTTGTTCGCCATCTCACGCTCACATACCCCCACGCTTACAACATTGTCTCGTTTGACAAGCTCGATTACTGTTCTTCGCTCAACAATACGAGAGCGCTCAACGACAAGCGCAACTTTACCTTTTACCATGGCGACCTGACCAATCCCTCCGAGGTCCTCGACTGTATGGAGCGCTATCAAATCGACACCGTCATGCACTTTGCCGCCCAGTCACATGTCGACTTGAGCTTCGGCAATTCGTACAGCTTTACCCACGCAAACGTCTACGGCACTCACGTCCTCTTGGAGAGCGCCAAGAAGGCTCGCATCACAAGGTTTATCCATGTCTCAACGGACGAGGTGTATGGCGAAGTCGGCCACGGCGAAGGCGAGCTGCAGGAGTCGAGCATTCTGGCTCCGACCAATCCCTATGCCGCAAGCAAGGCGGCCGCCGAGATGATGGTGCACTCATACCACAAGAGCTTCAAGCTGCCCACCATTATCGTTCGCAGCAACAACGTCTATGGACCCCACCAATATCCCGAGAGTAAGTCCTTTCTCAATCGCGTGTGTGCTCGGTCGAGTCTAACCCGTTCCTCTAGAGATCATCTCTAAATTCATCTGCTTGCTGAACCGCGGACGACCAGTGGTTCTTCATGGCGACGGCAGCCCCACACGGCGGTATCTCTATGCTGCCGATGCTGCGGATGCCTTTGACACGATCCTTCACAAAGGCCAGACTGGCCATGTGTACAATGTTGGCTCTCACGACGAGATTTCCAACCTTGAGCTTTGCGGCAAGATTCTGTCCGCCATGGAGATTGCTCACGATACGCCCGAACAGTTCCGCAAGTGGGTCAAATACACCCACGACCGCCCCTTCAACGACTGCAGATACGCCGTGGACGGCTCCAAGCTGCGGAAACTGGGCTGGGAGCAGAAGACTACGTTTGAAGAGGGCCTGCAGATGACGGTCGAATGGTACCGACGCTTTGGCGAGCAGTGGTGGGGAGACATTAGTCACGTCCTGACCCCATTTCCCATTGTGAGCGAAGGCGAAATTGTCCCCGATGTTGAGCACCTCGTCAAGGATGATCCACCGACGCCCGTGGAGGATTATTCGGCGAATGCCATTTCCCATAAAGCAAGCTGATTTTTGTTATTTTTCCCTCTCTTCCTCTTCTATTATAGGGTCTCATTCTTAGCGACGTTTTTGCAGCTGCCCCATGTAGGGCGGTTGATGTTTTTTTCTATTTCATGGTTTGGACGTGTGAACATATTGATGGATGTGGCACAAGATGAAAACGGAGTTTACGGATATCACGAGCATAAGAAAGGCGCCCACAGCACCCAGCAGCAGACATTATACCAAGGCTAGAAGCATTCAATAAACAGACATAGAACGATATGCAGGCGATGGTTGCACTTTTCGTCGATACACATTGTTATGGTGATGGTGCATGGTGCAAGGAACGGTGAGGGCTTTGATCCAGGCTTGAACCACATGGTTCCGACATAGAAGGCTCTTGCTTGCCATGTATATATCATTCCTCCTCTTAAGAGGCACTCTGCTTGGAACATATTCATCATCCGACAACCAGCCTTCCAAGTCACCATCGCTCACACCATCGCTCATCAAAACGCTCAAACTCAACAGCATGAAAAAAGCCACGAAACACAAAGAGGAGAACATCTAACACCCTCCTCCCCCTCCACATCCACCTCCTCCACCACCACATCCTCCTCCTCCTCCTCCTCCTCCTCCTCCTCCTCCTCCTCCTCCTCCACCACAGCCTCCTCCCCCTCCCCCTCCACATCCACCACTTCCACAAGCTCCCCCTGCGCCCGAAGCACACGCCGCACCAGCCTGTTGTGTTGAAAAAACAAGAAAGTGGTTAGCCGTTTTGTAAAAAAAAAAGAAACAAGAGTTTTGTCTGCGTGGTATATTTTTGTTGGCAAACTCACTGCACCAGAGGAACATCCGCCTGGGCCTCCGCAGCCGCCGGCAGCAATGTTGCCGTTT